CTTCTGCTGGCGAGCAGCATCACACGATTTGTTAAAACAGCCGTTGGACCCTGGTCTAGGCACTTTCACTGTGTGAGGGATGTATTCCTCCATTCCGACGTGGATAATTTCGGTTATCGAAGAACAGACAGCCGACGCATCCGCGTCAGTGAAACGGACATATTTCCAAGGAAAGCTAGAGAAAAAATCTCTGAGCCCCTCCCAGTCAGCATGTCCGTAATGCCAAGTTTTGTAAGAGTTTCTGCTGCCACAGCACCCAGGGGGACAGGACAGCAGTGCTGTAAGGGACAGGATGCGTGGTCAGAAACAGATCCAGCAGGCTACTGGCGTGTGACGAGACGCGGGGGAAAAAAGTAAGACTCGTCACCAGCTGAGTCAGCCCTTGTAGGTTTAGCTGGCGCTCTGTACTATAATTATAGTGAACGATCTACTAATCAGTTCTCTTGGGTTCTATTTGTGCCATACGCCTTTCATTTTCTAATTAGTAATTCATCCAATTTTTCTCCAACCTGCTTGTCTCCCAGAGTTAAAAACATTTATATGAACTGTAACCAACCCATTATGAGTTAGGTACACCTATAACAAGATCCAAGTTGCCAACAGATAAATGTTTTGGTACACGGTAGTAGTTTATGACGCAAAGCTGACGTTTTTCTTAACTACGTCCACATTAATGCACTTTTTCTTTCCCTTCCTGCTTCAAATTCAACATGATCTTGATTTGAGCTTGTAAAGGTCATAACCAAAGACAAGAAAACAACCACAACCTTTCTGTGGCCTAGGAAAGTTACCTGTCCTATTGAGTTTCTTGAATTATCGTGTCAGACTGCCAAGTTTCCCTGAAACTGACCTTGTAGGGATTATGGTCACGATCAACACGACTCCTCCCAATACCCTCCTACAAGGTGTTTTAGCGAAACATATCTTTTAGTTTACAGATTCTCAGAGTTTTTGGTCTGAAAACTACAATCGGCATATTCACCATTTTAGCAAATCAGGAAAACTATCCGCCCATCTCTCAGAAATTAATAACACTGGACAACAAATTTTAGTTTTTTAATTGTATCTTGTGGGAAAAGTGCACTTCTTTGTTAATTTTGGGGCGCTGAATCCAAAAATGACAATGAAATAAAAAAATTAGTTGCGGTTTAGAAAAAAAACTTTTTATTTTTAAGGATATATTAAAAAAAGTAACAAGATTCATATACATATAAGAATCACTATATGCGCTGTCTTTTTGCTGTTCTTTTATGGATCGTTTCTGGAGCATCTCTACCAAGAGTCCAACAGTAGTCTGCAAGCATGGAAGGATTCCACTTTCCCTGGTACCTTTTTTCCATTGTTGAAATATCCTGATGAAAACGTTCGCCGCGCTCATCACTTACGGCTCCGCAATTGTCAGGAAAAAAGTCCAGGTGTGAGTGTAGGAAATGTATCTTAAGAGACATATTACAGCCCATCTTTTGATACGATGACAGCATATTTTTGACAAGGGTTTTATAGATGTCAGCTTTTCTATTTCCCAAGAAATTAGTAACCACCAGACGGAAATCATTCCAAGCAGTTTTTTCGATACCTGTTAAAGTGTTTTCAAACTGTGTATCTTTCAAAATATTTCGAATCTGTGGCCCAACAAAAATACCTTCTTTAACCTTTGCCTTGGAAATTTCTGACGCAGGTATTGAAAAGCTGACCCATCTCTATCTAATGCCTTGACAAAGTTTTTCATTAGGCCCAACTTGATATGCAGTGGTGGTAATAAATTTTTTTTCGAATATACTAATGGCATATGCTGTACATTTTTTTAACCTGGCACCAGGAATTGACGAACAGGCCAGTTTTGTCTGGTGTAATGAAGTGCCTTTGCCCGACTGTCCCATTCACACAAAAAACAGCAAAACTTTGTGTAGCCTAGCTGCAGCCCAAGTAAAAGTGCAACAACTTTCAAATCGCCACAAATATGCCATTGGTGCTCATCGTATTTTATGCATGTCAATAGGTACTTCATATTGTCATATGATTCTTTCATGTGAACTGCATACCCTACAGGAAGAGATGGTAAAATATTTCCAATATGCAATAACACTGCCTTTAAACTCAATGTTGAACTCTATAAACAATCTCCATTCTTCTGGGTTATAGTTTATATTTAAAGCCGCCAGTAAGCCGTTAATGTTACTGCAGAAAATCAAGTTATTCTCCATATTGAAAAATGGTTCTAAGTCTTTGTGGCGTTTACGAAAAACACATACCGAAACATCGTCTTCCAACAAGTTCCACTGCTGCAGTCTTGATCCAAGTAACTCTGCCTTACATTTTGGAAGTTCTAAATCTCTTACAAGATCATTTAATTCTGACTGTGTTATTTTGTGCGGTTGGTGGCATGACGTGCTCGGTATAAAATCAGGATCTCTTGACGTTGGTGGCATATCTTCTTCCTGACGAATCACTCGATCGCCATGATCTGATTCGTTTTCTGATTCGCAAGTGTAGGATTCTGGGGGTTTTGGAATAGGATTTTCGTCACTGCGAGGCACAGGTCTCATCGCAGATGGTATGTTTGGGTAGTTAATAACCGATTTTTTTTTCTTGGACATACCTGTGGCTTGTCCAACACAAAGTACGATCCAAAAGTAACAATCATTAATATGATTTGTAGGCTCTCTCCAAACTATTGGGACAGCAAAGCGCATAGACCGTTTTTTGCCATTTAACCAGCTCCTCAGACTTGAAGCACATGTATTACAGCAGATGTGGGGTGCCCACTGTTTGTCTTGATCACCTAGTTTACAGCCGAAATAAAGCTGATATGCCTTTGTTATTAGTGGAGTAATAGACCGTCTCTGAGACGCAAAAGTCACATCACCACACACGTAACAAAACTGATCTGGATTGTTTACACACTTTCGAGACATCTTGCATGAACGCTGTAAGCCAACAGAGGAAAAAATGGCTAATATAAAACAATATAATGTACACGTATGTATAACGTAACACAATCATGCCGATTACATCATCTTTCCTTGCCGAATATAAAAATGTAGCACGTGCATTCTTGTGAATTACAGTATAATAACACTGTCACAGCAGGAACACATATAATTACCGTATATCTAAAACTTGAACTAATATTGAAAAAATAAGTTTCATTCCGATTTTAGCACATTAAAAATAGTAATATTTTGTTGATTTTATTTAGGATATTTTTTGGCTGTTGATCAGTGTAATAGGATTGCTTTGGTGCGATGGATACTTTTGTTTGGGGAAGCAACAAATACAACATACTGAATTTTTAGACAAATCGGCTGAGACCCATTTTACCATATGTTTTGTGCTTGGTCCTTTGGAATTCGGAAAATTATCTTCTACAAGATGAAATAGCAATCGATATTACTGTATGTTCAAAAGAAATTGTGAGCCCGCAAATTCTCTGCGCTTTGATAAATTTGACAGATTAAAGCGGCTCAGAAAAACTTCATTACAAAAGCCATAGGGTGGATATACACGTATACCATTCAACTTGAACCACAGGTGTTTCAGAAGTCGCCAAATTGTTTGAATTCACTTCGTAATGTGGAATCCAGACAACGGAACGTTATTCTAATTCGGATCTTACAAAAAAATAATATAATATAAGCATCCTGTTAGGCTCATTAAAACCTTAACGTTATATTGTTGACGTGGGAAAAAAGTCGTATTTTTGTGTCAAAAATAACTTTCAGGTCTTAATAATGTAGTGGGGGTGGCAGCACACCAAACATGTGAGTACGTCATGCGGAGAAAAGTACTTATTAGCCCTAAACAAATAGCCTAGATTCCAGCAGCTGCCGCTATTGACGAGATGTGTTCGTGCCAGATCAGGTCCTCGGTGATCGAAATGAACGGCTCTTTGGCAGAACTCGTCAGAGAGGAAGTAGCTGTAGTCTTCTCTTTTCTAGCTCACCCTGAGAAGTCGGCTTGTCGTTCTGAATTCGTGCATGTCAGGTGCTGTCATCAGCAAAGCTGTGGATTGGGTTGATCGTACAGGAAAAAAGGTCATTGATATGTAAGATGAACAGTGTCGGAGCCAAGACCGATCCCTGGGGAACACCCGCGTTGACGTTGTGGGACGAAGAGGAGAACCCATCAATTGCGATGGATATATTTCAGCTAGAGAGAAAGTCAGTCACCCATCCGCAAAGCTTTTCTGGGAGGCCATAGGATGGAAGTTTGCTTAAGAGCGGAGCGTGTCATAGCTGCTCCAATGCTTTTGTGATATTAAGAGCAATGACGTGAGCCTCACCATACCGGATGAGTTTACTCTACAATTATGGAAGGTTACTCTGTGAGAAGTTTCTTTAAATCTTCTTGTCCAGCGTTCAGAAAGACCGACTGCCATTGCCCTGCGACATTACGCTATGCCTAACTTTTATATCGTGCTGGTTTTTGGCATTGCGAACCGCTTCGTTATATTTGTTTCTGGACTCGACGTCAGTTTGTCTGTTCTCTACAGTGGGGTTTTGTAAGAAGGTTCTGTGTGCCTTGATCTTCTGTTGGCAAGCAGTGTCACACGATTTGTTAAACCAGCCGTTGGACCCTGGCTTAGGCACTTTGACTGTATGAGGGATGTATTCCTCCATTCCGACGTGGATAATTTCGGTTATCGAAGAAATAGACATCTCTCCAAGGAAAGGTAGAGAAGTCTCTGAGCCTCTCCCAGTCGACATGTCCGTAATGCCAAATTTTGCCGTCTGGACGAGTTTCTTCTGCCACAGCAGGTTTTGACCGAAACCTAACCTCCACAACACCGTGGTCTGAGTTAACCAGGGGAGACAGGACAACACCGGCTGGGTCAGTCCTTGTAATCTATGAATGTCGGTCTTCTGATGATAGACAGAATTAATATTTAAGAATGCTTTGTTAGTCTGACACCAGTTCTCAAAATTTACCAAATTTGCCTGTTACAACTCACAGTATTTTGCCTTGTTAATACTATTTATTTTCATCCGCATATTTGTAAATATTATTCCTTTCATTTTCAGTCTCCTGATTATATTCGTACAGCAAGGCCAAGAACCGTGGAAGGGCTTTATGTATGCAGGTCTCATGTTTGCAACGAATTCCTTGCTAACATTCTTCAATGTGTCCCATATGAAAGTAATCGCCACCATTGGTATGAAGATGCGTACAGTGCTGATATCAGCAGTGTACAAGAAAGCGCTGAGGATATCTGTCAACGCGAGAAAAGAAAAAACTGTCGGTGAGATTGTCAATTTGATGGCAGTCGATTCATCAAGGTTTGTACATAAACATATTTATTTTTATTCTTAACATGTCGAATTGGGATTCAAAGTTATACGAGCCCCTTCCCACTTCAGTTGGCCCACTTCAAGATTTGTACCAAAATATGCCTTTATAAACTAAACATGACGAAACTATTTACTTCTAAAACAATTTATTTTCTCAAACACATTTTAGATACACTCTAGTCGTAAAAAATTTATATTTGAAATTACTTAGACCTATAACCATTGGGTAACATCACCTTTAGTTTTTATTACGGCTGAAGTTCTTTGGGGCATAGTGTTAACCAAGTTTTGGCAAAAATTTAGTGATTGTACGAGCATGATGTTGTCGTAGAACCTTTTTCATCTCGTGCCACAAAGTTTCAATAGGTGACAGATCTGGACTGCTAGAAACCCATTACAAAAGTGGTACATTATTTTCTTCCATCCATTTTATAGCCTTTTTTGAGGTATGGCACGCTGTACCATCTTGCTGAAACACAAAATCTTGGCCGGATGTCAAACATTCTTCCATCACTGGTAAAAGCGATTCTTCTAAAATTGCCAAATATTTGTTTGTATCCACATTTCCATCAATAAAATGAAGCTTTCCTACTCCTTTTGATGACATACTGCCCCAGACCATAATGGATGCTGGAAATTTCACTTTTCTCTTCAGACAGTCAACATGGAATGCTTCATTTTTTGCGAATAACTCTACTGCGACTGTCACCAACACAAACTTCGAATCGGGCCTCATCACTCCATTGTATTGCACACCATTGTTGAGGTGTCCATTGTCTATGTTCTTTAGCCCATCTAAGCCGATTTTACTTTTGCAGTGGAGTTAATAGTGGCTTTTCTTTGGCCTATAAACAAGTTGAGCAACTTTAGGGTTTTTACTTCACTTTTTTTATAAGAAAACTTACCTTGCAAGTGCTAAATCCGAGTTTGTGGGCCTCTCTATGAGTTGTGGACCTCAAAATTCTCCTTCCAACAGCGTCACTCCACAGAGCACTTAATTGTAAGTAATTGGCACGCCTGTTTTTCACGATTATTCTTCTTAATGCTCTTCGGTCGGCATTTGCGATATTACTTTTTTTCACATATCGTGGCTTAATATTAACTGAACCAGTTACGTTATATCTTCTAACAATATTTCTCACACTGTACCGCGATAAGTCTAACAAAGTTGCAATTTCTGAGTTTGATCTCCCAGAATTAAAAAAATTAATTATCAGTAACCGAATTTTCTATAATAATAACCTTTCCTCTACCCATTTTTAAAACCTTAACTACCCAAAACTATTTTAAACGTATTCTGACAGCTGTTATTAATAAAAACAGTTGTCATGGCTTTTATTTTTCACAGCCACCTATGCGTTATAGACTTATTTTGCATTGAAATGAAAATAGGTTGATATGCTGTAATTGCAACATGTGATATTTTTATGCTGCAAATTTGATTAGAGAGTGATAAAGTTGGTGTTTTCTACTATATATTATCAAAATATTCATTATTAATATTTTAAACCTATCACACCCTGCTACATTTTTATTATTTGTGTTTGATAAGAAAAAAACTAAGATTACAATAGTTGGGCCAACTGAAGTGGAAAGGGGCTCGTACAATAAGAAGTTTATTTTCTAAAAAAGTGGATTTGTTATTTTTTTAATTTTTAAAAATTCACCACTAAATCGCTTATAATTTGGGATTTTCATATTTTATATTCACCCTTGTGGATGATGGAAATAATCTGACTGCGTATTAGATTTCAGTACAACACAGTAGACGCAAAAAACACGAAAAAAATTCGGAGAGCGACAAAAATGTTCAAAATGACGAACAGTGAATCTTCCATCTACATCACGCCGAAATGTTAGGTTCACAGCCTACCTGTAGCACTTTATGACAGAGTATCATGAACTTTTACATCTCCTACTGATAGTGTTTATATTTTATACTCATTTTTAACGAAATATCTCCGAAAGCATCAGCGTTGATAATCTGGATGTTAACCAAAACAAACACCGTATTTGAATTTAAAGTCTCTATTTTTACTGGTCGTCTTCTTTATCTATTCGATCTCTACGCTCCGCTACGCACAGTACGTGTCACAAAACCTGCTGCGCCCTGGCTCACTCCTAACTTGAAAATGATTTTTCAACTCAGAGATGAGGCATTCGCTGTCTATCAGCATAACAGATCTGATCAGAATTGGGCCAGCTACAAAGATTTGAGAAATTATGCCCTTGCATCGCTTAGAAGAGAGAAAAAAGCATATATATGTCACGTTTCCGGAATCTTAACTCTAGTCAAGCTTGGAAACACCTGAGGAGGATGAATGTGGTAGCCCAGAAACATGTTGCGATACCTCCCGGTCTCCTTGAGCCTAACATTTTAAATATTTATTTTCTTTCAATTTTCCAGACAGCTGCAGCTGATCCAAATTTGATTGATAGTGTCTCTAACTCTTATAGCGATAGACGCCATACACCGGATGCACCTCTGTTTGCTTTTAAACTCCTTACTCAGCAAGACATCGTCAATATAATCTCTCACATTAAGTCTACGGCATGTGGCTCTGATGGTCTAACTTTAAATATGGTTTGCTTATGTTTGCCTGATACCATAGACCATATGACTCACATTATTAATGTTTGTCTCGAAACAGGTTACTTTCCTGCCAGTTGGAAAAATGGTATTATTATTCCAATAGCTAAAACTAATCATCCAGAACAATATTCGGATCTCAGGCCAATTACCTTATTATGCTTTCTATCAAAAATACTCGAAAGAGCTGTCTACTCACAACTAGTGGAGTTTTTCGAACAAAATCACTTATTTCCTCTACATCAGTCAGGTTTCAGAGCTGGTTACAGCACTACTTCGTCTTTATTACATCTTACTGATTCCATCATTCACAATTTAGACAATCACATCAACACCGTCTTGGTACTGTTAGATTTCTCGAAAGCCTTTGATATGGTCAATCACCGGATACTACTGAGTAAGTTATCTCATTATGGAATGTCAGATATAGTTCTAAGGTTCTTTGAGTCATACTTGCTAAATCGTCAACAAACAGTGAAAACTGATCAGGGAATTTCCTCCTCTGAGCCAGTTCCTTCAGGAGTTCCTCAGGGCTCAGTATTAGGTCCCTTACTATATCTGATTTATACGATTGATCTGCAAGACTGTTTATAGTCCACTGTAGTATGCAAACTTATGCAGATGATACTCAGTTAGTGTTTGGTTTCGATCCATCAAAGGTTGATGAAGTTTCTTTTAAAGTTAATTTAGATTTGGCTAACATCGGTGATTACTGTAACAAACACTGCTTGAAGATCAATCCCCATAAAACTACTGCAATGTTGTACAGTTCGAAGAACTCCTACCGTGAAATGAAGCAGAGGATTTGTGTTTTTTTGGATGAGACACTCATCCCTTTTGTGGATTACGCCAAGAATCTCGGTGTTACCCTTGATTTAAATATGAGATTCGATCGGCATGTCTCTTTCTTATCTAGAGTAACATATTTGCGTTTGAAACTCCTCTATTCCAATCGATACATCTTGAATTTTAAAACCCAAAAAAAGCTCGCTGAAAGTCTTGTGTGGTCTGTCATTTCTTACTCTCTTGTTCTGTATTACCCATGTTTAGACTACGTCCACAAAAGGAAACTTCAGAAAATTCAGAACAGCTGTTGTAGGTTTATTTTTGGATTGCGCAAGTTTAGTCGCGTCTCAGAACTCAACTGGTTGCGAATTGATAAGTTATTTTTATATCTTTTGACCGTCTTCACGCATAAAGTTCTACTATCTAACAGACCAGCTTACCTCGCTAGCAAATTAGTTCACCGAGGTAGTTTTGTTACCAGACCTCTTAGATTTAATGCTAATTTTAACATGCCCCCTCACAATACCTCGGTCTTTGAAAGAAGTTACACCTATAATGCTGTCAAGCATTACAATGCAGTCAACAGTAGCTATCGATCCAAACAGGTTGTTTCTTTTAAGAAATTAATGAAAAGTCAGCTGCTGGAGTCCATTTAGTTCAGTTTTTCTTGTGCTCATGTGGTTTATATTTTTTTAATTTTTTTTTTTTTTTTTTGTTTGACTATTTTCTACTATTTTTGTTTCAAATTTAAAACTCTCGCAATACTATCTGTATTTGTCTTGTGCAATCAATGTTGTCATTCTTATGAATTGTATATTTTTTTTTTGTATGTTATCATTTTGCTTATGTGTTTAAGTATTTTTTTTTCCTGTTGTGGGGTTGAGTGTAAGAGTAGTCGTCTGGCTAAACTTCGCCTCACTGCAGTTAATAAAGGCATTATTATATTTTTACTTTTAGATAATGCAGTTTATTTGATTTTGCCTGGGAGAATAACCTTGGCGTTCCAGGTTGCCCATAAGATGTTTCACTCCCCTGCTTATTATAAAAATACCGTGGAGCTTGATATTGGGAACACTATTCGGCATGTAAAGAAAGTTATGACACCTCATTACAACATTAATTGAATAATATGCGTGTCTTATCCTCAATCATTATCGAAGAAGGTTACCATTCTTTAAACCTTGTCTATGCACGCCACTGGTTTTCATGGTATACTTCGCATGGTATTACCCATGTTAGATAAACTTGAGTAAAATTTTTATTACTTTATTTTTGGAATGACCGTTTTTTTTTTCTCAAAATTCGTATCAGTTCGGATTGAGGAGGATATGAGGACGAAGTATACATAAGGCTTCCAACACTGTTCGTACTGTGCCAGAGTCAGAGAGTCTTTGTGGCGAATAGCAATATTATGTTCCTCATAAATTTAGAAATAAGCACGTAATTCTAACGTAAGTCTAAAGTCTTAACTCATTATCCTTACCCACTCCGTAGATATATATTTTTTTCAATGCCATAAATAAAATTTCATCGACCCGTATCTTGGTAGGTGATTATTTTTGGACCTATATTTATAGGAACTTTTTCATTTTTGGATATTCTTTCTATCCCAGAAACATTGGCACGTCTCTCAAAAGCATCCTGTATACCATTTTCTTGAAAAACATTGGGCAGGCGTTGCGCCCCCCTCGCTCTATCTCAATCCGCCACTGTCCAAAGGGTCCAATTCTCAAAGTAGTGTATATATAAAAACAGTTAAGTCGACATTTACGTACTTCTAATACCCGAATATTCCGAAAATATATAATTATTCCTCTGTAGCGGTGTAGCGATATGTCCATGTTGACATCGCCGCAGTACACCAGTTCACACCGGGGTATATGATTTTTAATGATAGAAGACGAAATACGCAACATTTACAACCGTCTACCGCTACAACCCCCAAACCACAATTTTCAACTCCTACAATGTATCGAAAAAAAATCAGGATCCTCTGAAACGTCAAAAAACATAATTTAGCGGTTTTTATTTTTACTCCCCCCCTCGCACTCCGCTGCAACTAGACCGATTGTCAAAAAAGTTTTCTTCCTTAGCGTAGTAGTGAACCTGTGTGAAATTTAATCAAAATCCGTTCGATACTTCGAATGTTATAGATGGGTGTAGAATTAGCGGAAAGGCAGACATCCCAGCGGACATGAGCGACATGGTGTTCCGTGATGTATACTAAGTGACATATAAATCCGAACACCCAGTTTAAATGGTTTTATTTTAATAAAATTTTGTATAAGTACTTAATAAGTAAATGATAAAATTTTCAAAATGATTGCACTGACCTTTAATAATGTGTGGATGCACCCTGATGTGCTACGCATTCTCCAACGCGCCTAGGCATGATTCTGATCAGGTGGTCAATGTCCTCCTGTGGTATCTCATTCCATTCTTTCCAAATGCCCCAGCCACTGCAATCTTCTGGTCCTAGCTACTTCTATTATATAGATGATAGATTTCAGCATTAGCCCTCCTAACATACCTTCCCTCCACCTTGGACCCTCCATATATTCTCCTTAAAATTTTCCTTTCCCACCTAAGTAATGTTTGTTCAAGTTTTTTATTAATTACCCAGGTTTCTACTCCATACTAAAGGGCTGGCTTGATGATCGTATTCTATAGCCTTATTTTGGAGACTCTAGATACATTTCTTGACTTAATATTTCGGTTAAGCATTCCCGCACATTTATTGGCCTTACCGATTCTGTAGTTTACCTCTGTTTCCTCATTTATTTTATTACTAATTAGAGATCCTAAATAGACAAACTCATCCACCTCTTCAAAAATCTGTTTTCCTGTGCTTACCGTTATTTCTAGCCTCGTTTCCGCCTGACCGGTCCCTATTCTCATAAATTTACTTTTTTCCTCGTTTACCTTCAATCCCATTTTTGCTGCAACTTGTATAAACTGCTCTACCACTTTTTCCATTGTCCTTTTATCCCTAGCTATTATGGCGACATCGTCAGCATAAGCAGTTAGTTAGTGACTTTTAAATAATATACTTCCTGATCTATTCAGCTGACTTTCAATAACGATTCTTTCTAGGATCATATACTAAGTGACATATAAATCCGAACACCCAGTTTAAATGGTTTTATTTTAATAAAATTTTGTATAAGTACTTAAAGAAGCATAATAAGTAAATGATAAAAATTTCAAAATGATTGCACTGCTTTAAAGCCCTTTGACCTTTAATAATGTGTGGATGCACCCTGATGTGCTACGCATTCTCCAACGCGCCTAGGCATGCTTCTGATCAGGTGGTCAATGTCCTCCTGTGGTATCTCATTCCAGGCAACCACCAACTCCTCTCGAAGTGCTTCTAGAGTCTGAGGAGGACGTTACAAATTGAGCAATCTCCTACCCATCATATCCCACACGTGCTCAATTGGGGATAAGTCGGGAGATCTTGGTGGCCATGGTAACAATGTGACATCATTATGTTGAAAGAAGTCTATTGTGACTCTTGCAACATGTGGTCGGGCATTATCTTGTTGGAAAGTTGGATCTGCAAGGGTGTCAAGATAGGGTAAAAGATGGGGTTCTAGAACTTCGTGGATATAACGCTGCGCGTTCATGTTACCTGTGATGAAGATTAAAGGTGACCTGGAACCATAAGCTATAGCACCCCAAACCATAACTCCAACAATGTGATGAACATGTCTTTCAACAAAAAACTGTGGATTCCTCCTTTCACCACGTCACCTTCTAACCCTGGCACGACCATCGTGCATGCCTAAACAAAATCGAGACTCGTCACTAAAGACAATACTGTTCCATTCCTGATCCCAGAGTGATCGTTGTCTGCACCACTCAAGGCGATTACGTCGGTGTTCTCGAGTTAAAGGGAGGACCCAGTGTGGCCGGTATGAAAACAAGCCAATACTTCTCATTCGTCGGTAAACACTTCGCATTCCAATAGGTCTTCCGTGTTCTGCAAACCATTCATTTGCAATGGACCTGGTAGTGGAGAAACGGTCCCTTAACGCCAATAATCTTAGGCGGCGATCTTCACGGTCTGTTGTTCTACGGCGGCGTCCAGTGCCCCTTGCTCTTTGCGTACGGCCTTCTCGAAGCCATGCCTGACAACACCTAACCACAGTGTCTACACTTCTTTGCTCTCTAACTGCAATTTCCCGAAAAGAAAGTCCAGCTTCCCGAAGTCCCACTATACGGCCCCTATCAAACTCACTAAGTTGACGAAATCGTACAGGTCTCCGTACTCTAGGCATCGTAACCGATCGTAAAGGATGTCAAGAACCAAAATCGGGCAACGTTGATTCTTTACTGCGGCTGAAATATTCATTTTTAGAGCGTTAATGAATTAAAGAAAAAAGTATAAAAACCGGAATGTGAAACTGATAAGGCTGAAAATTTTTTCACTTGTTATTTACAGTAAGATAAATACATTCACCAACTTTTATTAAAATAAAACCATTTAAACTGGGTGTTGGGATTTATATGTCACTTAGTATATTTACTTGTAATATAACATCCAAAAAACATAATATCTTATTTTCAAAATTGTTCGCCATCACAATACTTCCTCGCCCAGTAGTGTAGGAGGTAAAAATTGGCTTGTTCCGCTAGATATTGTACGGAAGTAGATAGGAATCTGACGATCGCCACCTACCAATGGTGGGTCATGGTTACAGAAGATGGAAAGCAAACATTCCTTTCTAGAAGTTTTGTTTTTGTTTATCAAGACATTCATACCTTTCTCCAAGGTGGAGAATTTTCGGGTCTAAAAATGCCTAAAAATGAATATTTTCAATGCTCAAAAACTTGGTTAAAAATTACAAGGCCCAGATAAGACCTCGCCTCAAGTATTGCTCATATGTTTGGGGTACTGCCGCCCCAACATTATCCATGCTCGATGATGTTCAAAGGAGGGCTGTCCGACTTATGGATGACCCTTCTCTAATGGACAGTCTTGGGACCCGTTTACACCGACAATCTAGCTCTCTCTACTGCTACGCCAACGGGCTTTGCTCCTCAGAGCACTCTTCCATGGTTCCGCAACACGATGTGCCAACTAGATATACCTGCCTGACTTCGGCTTCCCATCTAACCGTGTCGAACTTCGTACATCCAGAACTGGCCGATACGACGACTCTTTTGTCCCTAGGGTATCAAGATTGTGGAACAATCCACATGAGAAGACTTTTCCCAGTTCTACTATCCTTTGCCAGTTCAAAAATCAGCTTAACAAAGTTTCTTTAAGCTCCTCATATCAACCGCGGTGCCCTGGTTTTTGGTCTTCGGTGTGAAAAAAATCCTGACATTTATTCATATAACAACATAATTTACAAATAAAATTGACTTCTTATGTTTCTACAAACAGGATCAGCATGATGACGATCTTCATTAACATGGTCTGGTCTGCGCCACTCCAAATTTGTCTTTCGTTGTACTTCTTGTGGCAGGAACTCGGCCCTTCAGTCCTTTCTGGGCTGGCACTAATGATCTTGTTAATTCCACTGAATGGATACATTGCGAATAAGGTGAAGACCATGCAGGGGAAGCAAATGAAGAACAAAGATGAACGAGTCAAACTAATGAATGAGATACTCAACGGCATCAAGGTATGAACACCCTCATTATTGTATACAAAATGTGTCCCAGAATTTGCAGGTAGTATCGAATTCACCCAGACCAATAGACCCTTTGCAGTTAAGGTAGGACTACGATTTATAAAAACGTTATAAAAACGACTTTCGATTTTTGTACAACATATTACATGGTCAAACCTATTAGCAATGTCCTCATCCATAGCTGTAAACCTAAATACAGGGTGTTTCACAACTTATCCGACAAATTTTAACCACATATGCAGTGTTACGTAAGAAGTTTATTTCTCAAAAAAAAATGTAATAAAAGTCCTACAGCAATCGAGATAATAAGATAATATAGTTTAACAGTTCACTTACTTATAAAAGCTGTTCAAAATTGCTTCCATTGTCTGCATGCACCACGATGATGCATGTGACACTTCGGGGACCTGTTGAGCTACCTGCCTTGTGCCTATTCCACAATATCCAAAATTTCGTCTTCGGCATTTAAAACGCGTTGTGGGCGAACCTAACCCCCATCCACTCCTTGTCTGGGGCACAAATATCCACTAGCACGTGCACGTAAAACAATTGAACTGAATGTTTCGTGATGTGGTATGTGCCTATACGGAAATCGGTGTGCATACGAACGAGAAGCCACTCGCGAATTTTGCCCTGCCTCTCCATACGCTAAAAAAATGTCCACTAACTCCTTATTGGTGTCGTACACATGTGCCATGTTCATTAATAATAATTACAGTGGACCCCCGATAATCCGGCCCCTGTCTAATCCGGCGCCCCCTGTAATCCGACATGTCTTTGAATATTACATACATACGTATTTGACTGTCTTCGCTAATGTAGATCACGCAGGTTTGAAAAGGTTACAACTTGTACGCGCCACCGCTATCGTGCTCGACTTGTAAGCATTGTTTTACTTAGTTTGGATTTGACTACTGTGACAGCGGTACGGCCTAGCGTGCGTTCATTGTTTACTATTTATTCATTGTGTATTAAGTATAGTACCTAGTAATGTCATCACAAACTCAGAAGCAAAAGCACAAAACATTGACAATTAAAGAAAAATGTGATATTTTAGACCGCTTAAATCGCAATGAAACTTTCAGTAGTTTAGCAAGTGAATACGGCGTAGGCCGATCTCCAATTTACGACATTAAAAGAAACCACGAGAAGATTAAGAAGTTCGTGTTAACTACTGACTACGGGCCAGGCAGGAGACAGACACTCAAGAAAGATGAACATCCAGAAGTGCAAGAAGCTTTGTACATGTGGTTTCTTCAGGAAAGAAATAGGCATGCACCAATTGCAGGACCCATGTTGGCCATGAAAGCTAAGTTTTTTTATAAGGAAATAACAAAAAAAGATGATTTTGTGGCCAGCAAAGGATGACTAGAACGTTTTAAAAGTCGTCATGGCATACGTTTAATGACTATTACAGGAGAGAAACTTTCTAACGATGCCACCTGCATAGAGCCCTTTATATTAAGATTTTTGCAAAAGGTGAACGATTTAAATCTTGACCCGTCACAGGTGTACAATGCAGACAAATCAGGGCGTGTGATGCGCAACAAAACTTTCGTTTCTTGTAACGAAAAATCCGTACCTGGACGAAACCATGCTACCATGTGCTAACGCTGCGGGCACACAGGCGCTTAAGATGAAGGTCATTGGGAAATCTAATAAACCACGGGCATTCAAAAACATTGATTTACCTGTACACTATTACGGACAAAAAAGTGCATGGATGACAAAAGACCTTTTCAAAAAGTGTGTGATAAATGCTTCGTACCGGAAGTTAGAAAATGGTTAAAAGATCATAATTTTCCTCAAAAAGCGTTGTTGCTTCTTGATAACGCTCCCGGTCATCCGTCTGAAGAAGAACTAACAACTGAGGATAAATGCATCACTACGATGATTCTTCCGCCAAATTCCACTGCACTGATTCAACCATTGGACCAGAATATCATTCAGTTTGTCAAGCAAAACTATAAGAAAAACCTACTTCTGAGAGCCGTATCAAAAGACCAACCAATAGAAAAAACTTTAAAAGAATTTAATATGAAAGACTTGGTTTTTGCTCTTTGTCGGTCGTGGAATGCGTTGCCGTCATCAACTATTAAATCGTCTGGGAAAAACTTATGGCCTGATATAGTCACCACTCCTAGCAACGTTCCACAAATCAGTGTTACTTCGGAAGTTATAGAACAAGTCGCTACTGAAACACGTAAGTCCGGATGATTGGGAAATCTGGTGCCGTGGAATGGATCAAGAGGAAAATGTTTTTCATGAAGTGTCTGACGAAGAGATTATAAAAGAGGTTTCTAATAATACCACAAACAATCAGGAAAATAACGACGACGTGATTGCAACTGCTCGACAAGTCACAGCACAAGACGCAATTAACGCCTTTGAGCTAGGTTTACAATGGGCTGAAGAGAATGGTACATCCTACAACGAACTTTTATTCTTGAGAAGACTGAGAGACAAAGCTCTGATCTCGCGTTATAACAACCTTAAACAAAAAAAATTGATGAATATTTCCAAGCTTCATAATTTGATAAATTCATTAATGATTTTGATTAATAATTCTTGATTATTTTGGTACATATGTATGTGCATTTATGCTTAATTTTATAATAAAACGTAAGCTCTCTATTGTTATTTAATTTACTAAATTCGACATACATAAACTATGTATGATTTGTACTTCAAAGTACATACATATACATAATATATATAATCTTACCATTGGATATGTAATTTGTCGGATTACAAGGTACTCTTTTGTAAAAAATTCCGGACTATAGGGGGTCTTAGGCAGTGCTCTATAATCCGACAAGTTCGATAGTCCGACACTGCCCTGCATAATGTTTGTCGGATTACCGGAGGTCAAATTTCCGGTATTTTGTTTTCGTCAGTTGTTTAATTCAACATTTGCAGCAATAAATTATTAATGCGTGTTCTAATATCACGACGATGAACGCAAAATACAGACATTTATTTTTCAATTTATTATCAAAACTCAGGTTTATAACTTAATATCTGTAGGGCTTTTATTTCTTTTTTTTTTGAGAAATCAACTCCTTTCCTAACAGTATATAGTAGCATATTCAATTCAATTCAATTCAATGGACTTTATTGTAACACATACATAATTATGTATCCTTACAAATGGCGAAGTCTGGCCAATGGCCATTTATACTTAACCATAAATGTCATGTCAATGCTTATTACTACCTTCACAATAAAATAAAAAAAAACTGAAAAAGAAAAGGAAAAAGAAGAATAATAGTAAAAGAAGAATTAATAAATATGACATAATGCGTACGATTAGAACAAAAAACATAATACGTACGATTCAAAGAGAGGACAATAACCTAAGAGCTCAATAAGTAGTTCTTATATTTTTTTTTAGAAAAGTTGCTGATGAAACATTGTACCAAAGAGTTGATCAATTTCACCGCATTATACGTAAAAGACCGTTGAAAAATGGCTGTCCTATGTTGTGGCATTGTCAGGAGATTAATGTTGCGCGTATTCAAATTGTGAATTAAATTCCTACGAACAAGCTTTTGCATAAGATAAACCGGAACAGAAGTTTTTAATATTTTTACGACAAATGTAACAAAGTTGTATTTGAAAAGATCAGAAATTTTCAATCAATTCATTGAAGATATTGAGTGAGAAACATGATCGTACCTTCTTAAATTGTTTATGTAACGACTACATGAGTTTTGAATTTTTTGCAGTCTGTATTTTGTGATTTCATCCAGACAGGGATAACAAACTATGTTGCAGCAAGCCATTTTACTGAGTATGAGTGACTCGCATAATATTTTCGTAATTTTTCTATTTAAAACAGTTTTACTTGCATAAAGAAGCCTGAGTCTAAAGTAACTAGACTTACACACATAGCCAACATGCTCCTGAAATCTGAAATCTTCATCCAAGTACAAACCTAAATTTTTTGCAGAATGGGAAAATATTAGGATACTATTATTTAGCGATAAATTTAACTTTGATTTGAGGAAAGTACGTTTTTTCTTGGAGCAAAAAAGTATAACTGTCGATTTCGATGTGTTTAGACGTAAATTATGTTTTGCAGCATATGTGCACAAAGTATTGCAGATCTTGATTGATAAGGTTGTTAGCTAAATGGTAGTTGTTCGGACAGAAATTATGAAAAACCTGCATATCATCAGCATATGATTGACTAGGACAATGTTGAAGGGTGTTAGGTGGTTGAAATTTGTCGGATAAGTTGTGAAACACCCTGTATACTTGGCAGCACCTAACAACTGTCCAGAATTGCCCAATATGAAGAAGCAACACATGAGTCATTGCTCGCTGTCTTTAAACTTTATACCATACTTCAATGAAATTACCTCCCACCGAATAATGTGGAATTTATTTGTAACTGCAATTAACTAAAAGAATTGGCAATATGGCGACCCAGAAATCTTATAGCATATAAAAAATGAGGTCTTATCGATTTTTTTTTTCTTTCGTTTTTTGCCCCTCGCTGCTCTGTCACTGCACCGATTTACAAAAACAACAAAGCTGTTTCGTCTTAGGTATAGTGTGAAAGTTTCATCTAAATCTGACCGGTACTTTCCAAAATACAGAGGAATCAAGGATCAACGACCAGACAGACAGACCGACGAAAATATGTGTCTGGAAAGTTGGGGTTTTCCTTTTCAGAAACAACTACCCTTGAAATAACAAAGGTAATGTGTAGTGAAACGAGGGCGCGCAAGTAAAAAAAAAAAAGGAAAAAGTACTCACTCTCCAGTTGACGAGAAGGGCTAAGTACGTCTCTGCCCGAAATCATACCGCTCCAACAGAAAATGAAATCAGCTGATGCGCTACCGAGCAGACACCGGCGGTGGTGCAGACCACGAACAGAGGTAACAAATATGACAAATTTGGGAGACTAAATGGTCCAATGAGCATACCGTTCACCATGCCAGCCCAAACATTCACCGAAAATGTTTGTTGCAAATGTGCCCGACGGACAGTGTGCGGATTTTCTACTGACCAAACATGAGTGTTGCGAAAGTTATTCACCCCAATACGCGTGAACGTAGATTCGTCTGTCACCAATATGCACTTCAAAAAGTCCGGATTATTGTCATGTTGATGCAACAACCACTCACAAAACCGCACTCTTGCTGGAAAATCGTCAGGTTGAAGGGCTTGTACACGTTGGACGTGAAACGGATACAGCCCCTCTTCACGCAGCGTTTGCCACACTTTAGTTTTTGATACTTGCACTTCTCTAGCCACGTCTCTAGTGCTTGTTGTTTTTTGAAACGCAATCGATTATACGGGTTCGTTTACCTCTACACGCGTGACCGTAACCGTCGGTTGAAGGTTGCATACTGACCTGACACACTGACCCCGACCCAGTTCTGTCGTCGGGTTGAGCCAGTGACCTTGTACCAGTCGGTGATATCGCGGGTCGCGGCTACAGGACGGTATTCAGATATTTTTGATGTTGCAGAGCCCTTTATCTCGGTTCCCTTAAGACATTGGTGTATATGGTACTAAGAAAAATTGCTTATGTTTTCAAGATCTACACGTTGTGTAAAGGAAAACCCCAACTTTGCGGACACCCTGTATAATAGAGCGGCATATTTTCCTAATTATGAGCGTATAGTTGGTTTGTTTGTTTGTTTAAGATTTATTTAACATGATTGCTATAATTAAATTCTTTTAAAGAACTAAACAATTACTTAACATACAGATATTTAGAAAAAAAATTGCATCTCTAAGAATTTTCACTGTCCATGAAATATTCCTATAATTTTATTTTAAACATCTTTAAATTACAAGTAGCCTTTCAGTCATTGTTTAGTTTATTAAATTCAAGTAATCCTTTATGAAACATTGATTGGCTAGTTATATTACTAGTGCAATTTTGCAAGTTAAAATCTATATTTAGTCTTGTAAAATAATTGTGGTAATGATTATTCAATTCTACTGTTCTAAATGTTATGGCAAAAGATGATATTTTATTTTAAACATAAAAATAAAAACCAAACATAATATGAAATTTTTTATATTCAACCACTGCAATTCTTGTAACAGATTTTATTTTCGTGTACTTATTTTTATTTAATATTATTCTTATAGCTTTATCTTGCAGGACTTGTAATTTTGAGAATACAGCTTCATTGGCAGTGAACAAGATAGTTGCACAATATAGTAAATGCTGTAGAATAATTGTATTATAAACTATTTTTTTTGGAATAGTTACCAAGACTATGAGAGGCTCTATAAAAGTAATTTGTTGTTTTTTTTTGGCAATTTTTTAAATAATGTATTCATAGTGATCCTTAAACTTTAGTTTACAATCACTATTTAATTGATTCAACATTTTCAATTAATTCACCATTTATCCTAACTGTGATAGTATTTTCATTTAGGTATTTCCCTATTACCACACATTTATGATTTTCAATGTATCATCTGCAAATATCTGAATTTTACAATAATCTAAAATATTACAAATGTCATTAATGTATAAAATAAATAGTAGTGGACCTAGTTACCTACCTTGTGGTACACCAACAGAAATATTTTTTGACGTTGATATTGTAGATCCAATTTTGATTTTTTTTCCTTCTGTCAATTAAGTAGTTTTGTAGAATTTTGAATACAGATCCTTTACATCCGTAGTGATGCAATTTTGTAAGTAATTTATCCCTGTCAATAGGCTCAAAGGTCCCTTTGAAGCCCAAAAACACTGTTACTGTATGTTCCCTATTGTATTTCTTCCTGAATCCAGCTTGACATATGGTTAACATTTTATTTCAGTCAATAAATTCGATGATCTGATCGTAAATAATTTTTTCAAAGACTTTTTCAATATCTGGCAGAAAATTTATGCGGCGCATATTGGTGTACAACTCAGAATTCTCAACTTTCGAAACAAGAGTTATGGTAGAACTCTTCAGTTTTGTTGGAAATTCATCATATTTTAAACATAATTAACGTAATTTATCAGGGTTAATATTCTTGCTCCAATAATATCAAAACATTCATTAAGCACACTTTCAGACAAAATTTCTTAATTTCAGTAATACACTTTTTAGATGTATTTTAAACTAACGGTTACATGCCAAAAACTCGCCCTGTATTAATTTTGATTCTCAAACAGGATTTATTTTTCTGTTTGAACGTACAGATTTGTAAACGTTGGACGTATCTATATGAACGCTTGGACTTGGATAGCGTTGATTTAATTTATTTAATATCATTTTTTTAACAGGTTTTGAAGTTATATGCATGGGAAGGAAGCATGGAAGATATTATTCATCGTGTAAGACAAAAAGAAATTAAAACCTTAAGACAATCAGCGTACTTGAATGCAGCTACGTCTTTCATATGGACAGGTGCTCCCTTTTTAGTAAGTACCCTAAAACTTTTGTCTGAAAAGTTACGTATTAGATCTACGAGCCCCTTCCCACTTCAGTTGGCCCACTTCAAGATTTGTACCAAGATATGCCTTTATAAACTAAACATGACGAAACTATTTACTTCTAAAACAATTTATTTTCTCAAAAACATTTTAGATGCACTCTAGTCGTAAAAAATACATATTTGAAATCAATTAGACCTACAACTAATAGAACATCTGAACAAATAAACAATGTGCGAATAAATGCGCGAAGTTAACAAAGCAACAATTGAAAGATTACCATTGGGTAACATCACCTTCATTTTTTATTACGGCTGAAATTCTTTGGGACATAGTGTTAACCAAGTTTTGTCAAAAATTTGGTGTAAAACAATCCCATATTTCTTGAAGCTTTTGTCTCAGTTTGGTGATTGTACGAGCAGGATGTTGTCGTAGAACCTTTTTCATCGTGCCACAAAGTTTCAATAGGTGACAGATCTGGACTGCAAGAAACCCATTTCAAAAGTGGTACATTATTTTCTTCCATCCATTTTATAGCCTTTTTTGAGGTATGGCACGCTACACCATCTTGCTGAAACATAAAATCTTGGCCGGATGTCAAACATTCTTCCATCACTAGTAAAAGCGGTTCTTCTATCCATTGTCTATGTTCTTTAGCCCATCTAAGCCGATATTTATTTTGCAGTGGAGCTAATACTGGCTTTTCTTTGGCCTATAAACAAGTTGTGCAACTTTAGGGTTTTTATTTCACTTTTTTTTATAAGAAAACTTACCTTGCAAGTGCTAAATTCCAGTTTGTGGGTGAGTTGTGGACCTCGAAATTCTCCTTCCAACAGCTTCACTCCACAGATTACTTAATTGTAAATAATTGGCACGCCTGTTTTTCACGATTATTCTTCTTAATGCTCTTCGGTCGGCATTTGTGATATTACTTTTTTTCACATATCGTGGCTTAATATTAACTGGACCAGTTACGTTATATCTTCTAACAATATTTCTCACACTGTACCGCGATAAGTCTAACAACGTCGCAATTTCTGAGGTTGATTTCCCAGAATTAAAAAATTTAATTATCAGTAACCGAATTTTCTCACTAATAACCTTTCCTCTACCCATTTTGAAAACCTTAACTACCGAAAACTATTTTAAACGAATTCTGACACCTTTGATTAATAAAAACAATTGTCAGGGCTTTTATTTTTCACAGCCACGTATGCGTTATAGACTTATTTTGCATTGAAATGACAGTAGGTTGATATGCTGTAATTGCAACATGTGTTATTTTTATGCTGCAAATTTGATTAGGGAGTGATAAAGTTGGTGTTTTCTACTATATATTATCAAAATATTCATTGTTAATATTTTAAACCTATAACACCCTGCTACATTTTTATTATTTGTGTTTGATAAGAAAAAACTAAGATTTCAATAGTTGGGCCAACTGAAGTGGGAAGGGGCTCGGTATAGTGACTTGAGATGAGATGGATCGACCTATATTGGTGATCTATAAACTATTGTTGATGAAACGAATATTATCAGATATGGACACTTTGATTTTCGATTCACTTCAAAATCGCAGGAGTTTCCGAGGAGTTTCAAGACAATAGATTGACATATTGTGGAATACTTCAGTGATATTTTTTGCCTTTCTAGGTGTCCCTCGTCACGTTTGCAACGTATGCCTGTGTGAATACACACGAAGTATTAGACGCGCAAAAAGCTTACGTTTCAATATCACTTTTTAATATAATAAGGGGACCACTGAATATGTTGCCCATGGTGATCTCGAATTATATACAGGTAAGCTTTAGGATTACCATATAATTTGTAGAAATTTTAAATACTGAAATAGATGAAATTGTTTTCTACTTGCAGTTTTTATTTATTCGAGATTCTGTTTATATTTATATTGTTTTGTTCCTATACAATTATTTTTAAATTTTTAGGCTACTATAGCATTAAAACGAATCAATGATTTCTTGAATGCTGAAGAGCTGGATCCAAATAATGTGACGCATGAACCAAATAAAGGTAAATAACAATAAACATGAAACAATTCCGTTTCTTCGATCATACAGGGGGTCTGCGAAAGGTTGGGATATCTCGAAACTGGTGATACTACAGACCAAAATATGTGAATTGACCTAAACATACCTCAGCCCAAAAGTTGACAGTTTGCGAGATACAGGGTGTCAAAGTTACAACTTTATTTTCTATTTTTCCTTATTGCTTCAGATTCAGATTTTGGTATAAAACTTGGTATAGGGAACTTTTCTAGTACGAGAAACAAGAATCCGTTATTTTTAATAGCCAAACTTACAGCACTATTTCGGTAAATAATTCATCACAACTTTTTCGTGCTACCCTGTATACAACTGACCGAAAAATCTTATTTTTTCGTATTTCCACAACAAAAAGCTTAACTTGTTAGTATTGCTTAAAGCTAATAGTTTTCGAGATATTTGTTTTTAAATGTTCCAATGCATTATCTGTACCACGACGATAATATCTGAGTAGCGTTGCTATAATTTTTAACAATAACAAATGAGGATGGCGACAAAACTAATAAACGGAAATAATAAGCACAAAAATTGTTCAAAATGAGCACTACCTTGTCCAACACACTCTAGAGCTCGACGAACTGGTGTGTAGTATCTTCAGTTTTGAGATTTTCCAACATTTTACATATTATTTTATATTCGACATGTGTTTTATCTGACATAAAACGTTGATATCCAGTTGCCCTTTTACCTGCGTGGGCCAGGAAATAGATAATTTTTTCCTACAATTTTTGCGACAGAAATTTTTTTGTTATATTGTGAGATTACTGCCTCCTAATGACACGTTCAAATTAGGGCTGGACGCAATGGACATAGTCACGTCATAATATCGGTATTTTTAGGGCACCGCTGACGTATATACACCAACCAACAAAAATGACGTAGAAATGACGTCATTATGACAGTCTAATGTCACACCCAATAGCCATCATTATATGACGACATAGTATGATGAGACCACTTGTCAGGATTATAAAAACAAAATACAATACAATGCAATGCAATATATTACAAAGTGATGGCGATATACAGGGTGTTTCAGTTTATTGTTGCATAACTTTAAGATTCGATAGAACTTTTAAAATTAATGCATAAAGTCTATATAAACATGGGTCGAAAAATGCGTGGCTTCCGAAATACAAGGTATTTAAATTTACTTTCTAAAATAGTTTTTTTTAAATATTTCGAACAATATTTGATGTATATAACAGTGAAAATTGGTATACAAGGGTTTTTTGGTACGACAAAACGAACCATGGGCATAGTTTTACTGTAGCCGCTAGAGGGCGCTATCTACTGTACCTGTAGTGTATTAAAATGACCGAAAAATTTTACTTATTACTACAATTTTTTGCTTTTTGAATAAAAAAGCTAATTCTTCGCATTTTTCAACATAAAAAAGCTCTCTTGTGAATTTTCGTGATGGTTAGCCGTTTTTGAGATATTTCGATTTTTAAGGTTCGATGCATTTTTAATTATTTATGATAAAATAACGTTAAAAAGTCAGTATCTCGATAATTTTTAGAAGTAGGCTGCGCCTGCAAATATTTTTGAAATTGAAAGCAGAATAAGGTTAAACGTCAATTAGTTGACAGATAGTTTTGTTGTCTGTTGAAACCTGAAACGTTTTTTTGCAATTGGGAATGCACGAAATTTAGTTTCTTTTACCTGTTTTTTTTTTGTAAGTTTTATAAAAATGCCATTTTTATTCTCCAATCAAGAGTTAGCGGATATTCATTTTGTGTATGGCTTTGTAAATGGAAAAGCAGCAGAAGCAGCCAGAGAATACGCACGAAGATTTCCAAACAGACGACATCCAACTCGCTCAGTATTTGTAAGAGTGCATCGCCAAATAATTGAAAATGGTTTTGGAAATCTCCAAAGGGATCAAAACATAAATGTTCGTCAGCGCAGATTTACCCGTATGATTCTGCGTCAGTTTGATAGAGATCCGACCACAAGTGTTAGGAGAGTTTCTGGTGCCTTGGGAATTTCAGCAAGCCATGTTCACCGTGTTCTTAGAAATGACCATAGACGTCCTTACCATTTGCAACCTGTACAAGGACTACAGCCAGGGGACGGATAACGAAGAATCACATTTTGTCAGTGGATTCTTGATAGAACTGATAATAATAGGGAGTTTTTAAGTAACGTTTTATAGACCGATGAGTCATGCTTCACTAGACGTGGAGTGGTAAATTTTCATAATCAACATATTTGGTCGCATGAAAATCCGCATGCAGTTCGGGAAAGAAATTTTCAGCATGAATTTAGTGTGAACGTGTGGATTGGTATCTACCGTAATCGACTATTTGGACCCTATCTTTTGCCTGCAAGGTTAAATGCTGCGACCTTGGAATTTTTAAAGGCTGAACATGCAAATATGTGGGATGATGTTATGTTACATTTAAGAAGATTGGCCTGGTTCCAGCTTGATGGTTGTCCAGCTCATTATTCGAGAATAGTTAGATACCGGCTGGACGAAAATTATCCAGAAAGATGGATCGGCAGTGGCGTCCACGATCCCCTGACCTAAATGCATTAGATTTCTTTGTGTGGGGATTTCTAAAAGAAAAAGTGTACCAGACTCCCGTAACCACAAGAGATATGCTAATAGACAGAATCAGGAATGCATGTGATGAAATAAGGCCTTATTTGAATAATGCTATACCACGTACGATCATTCGTAGATGTGAATTGTGTATTGAACAATTGGGTTTACATTTCGAGCAACTACTTTAGATTTTGTATGTTTGTCCTAACTATCCAATAGCATTTTAGTTGTAAATAATTAATTTGATTTGTTAAAAATAATATTGGAAAATTAAACAAATTAATATTCTGTTTTTTTCTGTTTATTTGGAGTTAGGAATTATTGCTGTGATTAAAAACACAATCTAAACGATCATCTTAATTACTTGTAATGCCCAAATCGAAAATGTAAAAAAAATATTATTTTCCCATAAATAATTAAAAATGCATCGAACCTTAAAAATCGAAATATCTCAAAAACGGCTAACTATAACGAAAACTCACAGGAGAGCTTTTTTATGCATAAAAGTGCGAAGAATCAGTTTTTTTATTCGAAAAGCAAATAATTGCACTAAGAAAAAAATTTCGGTCATTTTAATACACTACAGGTACAGTAGAGAGCGCCCTCTAGCGGCTACAGTAAAACTATGCCCATGGTTCGTTTTGTCATACCAAAAAACCCTTGTATACCAATTTTCACTGTTATACATCAAATATTGTTCGTAATATTTAAAAAAAACTATTTTAAAAAGTAAATTTAAACACCCTGTATTTCGGAAGCCACGCATTTTTCGACTCATGTTTATATAGACTTTATGCATTAATTTTAAAAGTTCTATCGAATCTTAAAGTTATGCAACAATAAACTGAAACACCCTACACACATATATATATATATATATATATATACAGGGTGACTTTGAAGTTGAGTCATTAATTTTCAGATAATGATTGTAGAAGGAAGATAAACCAGAATATGTGTGTAAAAATAAAAAAAAATTAAAAAAAAATTTTTACCTTGTTTTATAAAGTATCCCCCCGACAAGTATTTCAGTGCGGACCTGTATTTGATCGTGAGGTCCCCTGTGAGGTCTTAAGTCACCTGATTCACGAGCCCGTTGTACTACATTAACAAAGGCACGAGGGGTTGGTTGCACTCGATTGGGAAACCGATCCGCATAAACATGTGCCATTTTTTATTTCGTTTGAGCCACGCAACAGACACTATTCACACGCTAACCGACAGACACTGACTGTATGTATACGTATAACTGAACTGAATAAAATACTTAATTGCAAAAACATCGTTCCAAATTCTTTCGCTTTTTTGTTTCCGATGCGATGAACCGGTAAGGCGGATTATATCCGTTGTTGCCAAACACGAGTACATGATATTATTATTGAGACAGGGCGGTACTCAAACTTCCAAAGGGCTATAACTTTGTTACTTTAATTTTACCAGAAAAATGTTAAAGGAAAAAAACATTTCTTTTGATCAGATCTACTCACTGTTAAAATAAATGACTCAACTTCGAAGTCACCCTATATATATATATATATATATATATATATATATATATATATATATAACTTGAGACGTGATCATTGTCGTCTAGACCAGTTAGGTGAAAAATAAAGCTTCCACCTTTTGTTGGGAACTTCGACAAATTCAAGCACAGAGGACTCTTTATACTTTATTAATCTCTAGCTTTCAATGGACTTTGCCATCTTCATCAGGAGCTGCAATAACATTGAGAAATCGTTGCTATTTTTTTAAATAGTTTTGCCAATTTTCCCAATTAACAATTAATTGTATTTTGTACCCAAATAGCCGTTGGCTTTGGCAATGACTACCGCTCACGTAACATCCACAGATTTGGGATACTTCCAACAAATTGAAGAACGCTATGGAACAAGAGTTTTGCCAATTTTCCCAATTAACTATATATATATAACTTGAGACGTGGTCATTGTCGTCTAGACCAGTTAGGTGAAAAATTAAAGCTTCCGCCTTTTGTTGGGTACTTCGACAAAATTTAAGCAAAGAGGACTCTTTATACCTTTTTTAATTCTCTCTAGCTTTCAATGGACTTTGCCATCATCATCAGGAGCTGCAATTACAATGATAACAGTAGCAACAAAAGTGTAAAATGAATTTAGATTGACTCAACTTACAATAGTATGTGAGGATGTTGCTAATTGTTGTTTACGTATAGGATGAGGGAAACGTCCAGTAACATGGTGAGAGCTGGATAGATTGTACAATGGTCAAAATTATTAAAATATGACAAGAACAAGTTAAAAACAGATTAAAAATTATTTAAAAAACATTACAGCATTACATCGTGAAGCCACTTGATGATTGCACAAATTAGTGGTCATGGAATAATGAGTGAGATGAAACCCTTTGACAGAAGGCCGAAGGATGTCAATGTCTGTGTTGAAAGACTCTCACCATGTTACTGGACGTTTCCCTCATCCTATACGTAAACAACAATTAGCAACATCCTCACATACTACTGTAAGTTGAGTCAATCTAAATTCATTTTACACTTTTGTTGCTACTGTTATCATTGTAATTGCAGCTCCTGATGATGATGGCAAAGTCCATTGAAAGCTAGAGAGAATTAAAAAAGGTATAAAGAGTCCTCTTTGCTTAAATTTTGTCGAAGTACCCAACAAAAGGCGGAAGCTTTAATTTTTTACCTATATATATATATATATATATATATATATATATATATATATATATATATATATATAATCAAATATTTTAATTTTGCAGTGTTGTAAAACATCAAGAACATCGTTAATATATAAAATAAATAGAAATGGACCTAATTTGCTACCCTGTGGCACACCTACCGAAATGGTTTTAATGTTTGATAGAGTATCGCCAGTTTTAATCCTGTGACTTCTATTGATTAAATAATTTTGTACTCTATTGAATACTGAACCTCTAAATCTTTAGAAGATTGCTGTTTAATGTTTCGAATTGACTCATACATAGTATACAGTAATTATGGCTTGGTGTCGAGTTTAATCACTATTGGCGCTGGAAGAGCAATACCCAACCATAGTTGTCATGTCCACTCTCTATGGTGCCGGAGTTGTGTAACATTAGTATATAGTAACATAATGCATAACTAGCTTGTTGTGCCTATATCATGGAAAATATCTAACTTGTAATTATTTCCAGAAACGCCAGTGGTTATAGAAAATGGTACATTTTCGTGGGGCGAGGACCCTATACTGAGAGACATAAACATCAAATGTGAGAGAAATTCATTGGTTGCCATCGTTGGGGCTGTAGGATCTGGGAAGTCCAGCCTGATATCTGCTTGTTTGGGGGAAATGTATAAGTTGTCAGGGCGCGTTAATACTGACGGATCTATCGCATATGTTTCTCAACAGGTGAGGTTAGATATTTGTAGTAGGATTGTCACCCGTTCCAATTTGGTCAGGAGGACGAAGACTAGATAAAAGCATATACGTACGTATGAAGCCAATCCTGTCGCCAAGGATGTTGTGGCTCTCAGAAATCTATTGGATGTAGGACATGGCGTGAAGCGTCTACGCATTGAAAAATGTCAACACAACCTGTCGCAATCTTAACATGCATTTCAATCACATGTTACCATGCTTTGTAAGTTTATTATTTCGTGATTTATTAAAATTAAAATTATTCAATATTTATGATTGCAACTGGTACGAATTGTCAAAATTAGAGTTGTTTACAGTCATGGTGACAGCAGCAGAGAGAGAGATACCATATATGCAAAACCTAAAATATATTTGCTGCGCAGGGTACCGACTCATTTTACCGTCGACATTTTTGGCTTCACCCCCACTCCGTGACTTTAACCTCTTATCTAAGGGCCGTACCGTCAGTCGTTCCTACAATTGCAGGACGCCTTTACGGCCTCCTTGATTGTCGTAGTCTTTTCTCTCCTTCAACAAATTCTAGATTGCACCTGTTCCGTGTCAGCGCCAGCACTCTCCTATTGTGAAGTTATGTTTTCTTTTAGAATTGTAGGAAATTTCAGGTTGTTAAAACAAATTAAATAAATCAAAAGCCTGAACAAATTGATGCAAATAGATAATCTTGTGACGTAACCTCAAAATAAGAGCGCTGACACGGAACAGTACAAAATTATGAAAATATAAAGGCGTCCTACAATTGTAGGATACGACACTAAAACGCTTCCAAATGAGCCTCAAAAGCATCGTTTTTCATCAATTTTCGAAGAAAAGTTTTTAATACTGTGTCTACATTTTAAGATTTAAGAATCTCGTAAATCGTTTTCTTTATGTTACTTGTACTAAGGTACCGAGTAATTATAGAAAGCAGTGTACATTCAAATAGTGAAATATTTAGAGCAAACTAACTTGTTTCCTCCTCATCAATCAGGATTTCGTGCGGGACATAGCACTACTAAACACTAGTTTGCTATATTAACTACTACACTTGCTCTTTTTATTCGCTCCAACACAGACACGAAATATTGGTAAAGACCACACATAAAAATATCAACCAAGGATCACCGGGAAGATTAACGAAATATATATCGCCACACCTGTTTGCAGCTGCAGATCCCACACGGAAGAGATTGCACAAAATTAATTCTGGAAATACTTTTTTGACTTCTAATGTCAAAAATTAGGTCAAGCTAAAAAAAGGTTTTTAGGAGATTCCTGAATTTTTAGTTTGAATATGGAGGAAAACTCTAAAAAGGATGGAGCTAGTGAGGAAGTGGAGAGCGTGGTCTCACTGAGTGAAAAGGGATTTTGTACAGAGGAAGTTTTGAAACTAAAAGATTATACCATTTCGATTCAAGAGAAATTAATAAAAGAATTGTACGAAAAGATAGACCAATTAAACAAAAAAATTGGGAAAATGCAACAGCCGTCACAAGAAGCAATTACAACTTACGCTAATATGGTTAAAGCTTCAGGGCCTTCAACCGTTAATTCGCCTACAAAAATGGTAGAATATAAGCAGCAATGCGTACCATTACAAACACGTATAGCAAAAAAACAATGACCAGTATTAAAACCCACAAATACGTTACAGTCATTGTTAAGCCTAATAACCAACAAGAGTGTAATAACACAAAGAAAGACATCGCAAAATTTGTGAATCCTACCAGTTTGAAAATTGCTATTGAAAAAGTTTATGAATTGAAAGATGGTGGGGTGAAAATCCAATGTAAAACAAAAGATGATAACGCGAAGCTACATAATGAAATAAAATCAAAAATGCCAGAAACATATACAGTGAAAACTTCAGAGATAAGTAAAAAACCACAAATCAAAGTTATTGGATTTTGTCAAAAATATGCAGAAGACGAGCTAATAAATACTATAAAATCACAAAATGAATCTTTTCAAGAAAATTCACATATGAGAGTAATTACAGTCAAGAAAATGAAAACTAAATATCAAGCAATTTTAGAAGTGGATGCTGTGACTTTTAAGTGTGTTATGAATCAGGGTGTTATTTTTATCGACATGTCTGTTTGCTCTGTTTTCGAGTACATCAATGTTTTGCGATGCTATAAATGTACCGGATTTAACCACACAGCTAAATACCGCACATAATCAGGAAGATATCTTACTTGTGGATTAGAAGGACATTCAACAGAAAACTGTAGTACCAGTGAAATGTACAAATGCTGTCCAAATTGTAAAAGTGCAAACCAGGATTTTAATCTAGGATTACCTATTAATCATGGACCATTTGACAAAAATTGTGAAGTATATACGTATAAAAGGAAAATTGAACGTGTGAGGGAAAAATTAATTATGCAAATGAATAGCAACTACTAAGCTCAGATTTGCAAGACGTGGCTAAATCTGTAAGTGATGAATATAACTCAATATACCATTTAAACATACAAGGAGTCCTGAATAATATAGATGAAGTTCAACAGTTTTTAAGATGGAGAAAACCACTTGTATTATGTCTTACCGAAACACATGCTACAAAAGACATCACTGATGGTGAATTACAAATTACTAATTATAAAACCTACAGATGCAACTCCAACTCCAGACATACTGGAGGTGTAGTGATTTATGTTTACCACAAAATACAGATCACATTATTCGATTGTACCACTTTAGACTATGCATACTGGTATGCACATATACAGTTCAAATTATTTGGGAAACGTTATGATCTTTGTACTTTTTACCGTTCACCAAACAGTGATGCAGATACATTTTTAACGTTTTTTGAAGAAAAATACGAAGAAATGTGGAATTTTAGAAACAATATAATACTTTTAGGTGATTTTAATTTAAATTATTATGGTAAAAGCATGAAAACAAGAAAATTGAAAGAAACCATAAACAACTATGGGTTCAAGCAAAAAATTGAAGAGAGTACCAGAATAACATCATTATCAGAGACTTTGTTAGATCTTGTTATTGTAAATTTCGAATGTGCAGGGATTAAAGCTGTACATACACCTAAAGTTAGCGATCACAGTTGGACAATGCTGCCCTTGGTAGGACATTTTTCTGATAAAAAAATTAAGAAAATCGTAAATACCATTAAGTACGAAAAACTTGAACGAGAACTTGCTGGCTGCTATTGGAATTTTGGTGAGAATATGGAAAAAATATATGACAACATAATAGGAAATATAAAAACTTGTTTAGATCTTGCAACTGATAAAAAAGTGATTTGCTAATAACAAGAATATTAAGACAGCTCAAAATTTGAGAGACAAACAATACAATAAATGTATATTCACAAAATCAAATGATGATTGGGAGGTATATAAAACTCTTAGGAATAAATGTGTATATGTAATTAGAGAAGAAAAAAAAAATTCTACGATAAACAAATCGATAATAACAAGTGCGAAAGTGTAAAGATGTGGAAGACTTTAAAAAGACTGATCAATTCGAAGCCGCATGATTGTGTAAATCAAGTTCAATTCGAAAACGGTACCGAAACAAATTCTTTGGTGATTGCAAACAAACTAAATGAATATTTTGTGGAAAGTATTGTTGATATTGTAGGTACTGCCAATGCTGCACCTGACTATATGAAAATCAGTTTCAAGGGGGAAATGTTGCATACACTTTCAAAATTTCACAGTGTATCATTGAATTATCTAAGAAAAAAAGTAAACAGTGTAAAATCAAATAACTACTGTGCCGAAATGACTACTAAAAACGTGCTGAAAAACTGTTTCGAAATTTTGGGATATCCTGTATTAAATTGGATCAATTGTTCACTGAGAAGCAGTTCTTTCCCTGAAAATTTGAAATGCTCTACAATGACACCAGTTCCCAAAATAAAAAAATCTAAAAGATGCAGCGATATGAGACCAGTAAATGTGTTACCAGACATTGAAAAATTATTAGAGTCCATAGTGCATGAGCAATTAATGCAGTTTATAGAAGAAAACAAAATTTTAGTGGAGGCGCAAGCAGGCTTTCGAAAAAATATTCCTCAGAAACAGCTTTCCGTTGGTAACTGAGAATTGGAGAAGAGCAATAGATTCAGAAGAAGTTGTCATAGAAGTATTTTTGGATTTGAAGAGGGCATTTGAAACGATTGATAGAGATATTTTGTTAGGTAAATTGAAGGCATATGGTATAACAGGAAGTGTTTTAGATTGGTTTAGAAATTATTTGTCTAAAAGGATGCAAGTAACAAAAGTTAATGACACTATTTCATTAAAAATTGAAAATACGTTGGGTGTTCCACAGGGCAGTATCCTGGGACCACTTCTTTTTATTTTATACATAAATGATTTACCTGCCATAGTCAAAAAATGCAAAATTCAAATTTTCGCCGATGACACTATGATTTATATAAGTACTAAAAATATTCAGTCTGGTATCTCTTATATAAATGAAGACTTGAAGCTTGTCTCAAAATGGTTAGCATCTAACAGACTAAAATTAAATGCAAGTAAAACGAAAGCCTTGTTAATCGGAAAAAAACAATGTACAAATGTTCAACTGAATATTGATGGTGAAGATATTGAATTCGTAGAAAATTTTAAATACCTGGGAGTTTTTGTTGACTCTCGATTAATTTTTGATATTCATTATGAAAAAGTTATAAATAAGATTAGTAGTAAAGTGGGATATTTATCGAGAGTTTCTGGATGTCTGAGTTCATATAGCAGAAAAATGATCTATAATACCATCATTCTTCCAAATTTCTTGTACTGTTCGACTATTCTATATTTAGCAAATAATTCCATTTTTGAAAGACTGCAAATTTTACAAAATAAGTGCATGAGAATAATACTAAATAAAGATAAATATACTCCAATTAGGCAAATGCTTAGCAAATTAAAATGGCTCAATGTAAAAAATGTTATCAAATATCTTGTAATGATATTCATTTATAAAGTAAAAAATAATATATTTCCATCAAGTCTAACTAATTTAACATCATCAAATGTCGACCATCATTTACATAATACCAGAAATAAAGATGACTTCCATTTAATGACCAAAAAGTATAACATATGCTACAAATCTGTATTCCATCAAGGGTTGATTGAATATAATAAATTATACTCGGAGATAAAAGACCAGAAAACTTTGACAAAATTTAAAGTAAAATTGAGAAATCACTTGTTAAATCTACAATTATATGTTGCCCAGCATTTACATCATACACCATATGGCTTGAATTTACTAGTTCTAAGTTGTTTACAATTGTTCTGTTTATGTAGCCAAATGTGCTAAATAAATCTTTCTACTACTACTACTACTTCAGCTTTGCTCCATCTAACTGACAACATCGTAGGTAACTTAGACAGACATATTAATACCATATTAGTGATGATTGATTTCTCAAAAGCCTTTGATACAGTTAATCACAAAATCATGTTGAGCAAGCTGAAGTACATGGGACTATCTGATATTCCGCTAAGATTTTTCCAAAGCTACTTGGCTGAAAGAAAACAGGTAGTTAAGACGGTTAGGGGCGTCTCTTCTAGTACTGCGGTTTCGTCTGGCGTTCCGCAAGGGTCAGTTCTGGGACCTCTGCTATATTTAATTTACACTATAGACTTAGACTCATGTGTGGAATTTTGTTCTATACAAACGTATGCTGATGACACATAAAATATGCTCAGTTAAATGAAGTGTCGTTTAAAATTAATACTGACCTAATCAATATTATGGATTTTTGTTAAAAGCACTGTCTCAGGATCAATCCTGAACAGAGTTCAAGCATGCTTTTTTCTCCGAAACACATATACAGGGTGACTTGTAATGTCACGTATTCCTGTTAAGGGGTGATAGATTAGGTCAAAAGCAACCGATTTTGTCCTATAATGTCCTATCCAGAAGTTAACCGTTTTTTGAGTTATTTGAATTTTATTTTTTTTATTTTTTATTGCGATTTCAGACTGTTAAATTTGAAATACAGAAAAACTACATGTTTGATTTTGAATTTTTTGTTATCGTCGCATAGCGGACATTCCAATAGTTCATAATAATTAATAAAATGTTGAAAACTTACAAAAGTTTTAAAATTTTTTAATATTTTCAATCGCTTCCGTAATATTGTTCTTCAGCTGCTCTACAGTATCTGGTATGTTGGCATAAACCCTATTTTTCAAAAATCCGCATAAAAAAGTAAGGAGTCGTTAAATCCGGTGACCTTGGTGGCCAGTTGATATCACCAAATCGAGAAATTAAACGTCCCGGAAATATCGTTCGCATCAGATTCATTGTTTCTCTAGCTGTGTGACAAGTTACTCCGTCCTGATGGAACCACATGTTTTGCAAGTCCAATTATTGGATTTCAGGAGCCAGAAAGTTTTGCACTATATCACGGTAGTGCTCGCCAGTGATAGTAAAAGAATTACCTGCAGCATCTTCAAACGGTCCAATGACACCTCCATACCAAACACCGCACCAAACTGTGATTCGACGAAGATGTAGTGGTCGTTGATGGTTAACATGAGGCTTCTCTAATGCCCAGATACGACAATTCTGCTTATTAACAAATCCGTTCATATCGAAGTGGGCTTCATCGCTCATTATCAGTTGTCAGTAAAAATCGTTATATTGGGTATTAAGCTGTAGTATTGCATGATTGTATTGTCTGGTCATGGTCACTAGGCTGTAGTTCTTGGGTTAACTGAATATTATATGGCAGGTAAAAATACTTAATAGCCTTACGTTGAATGCCTTCAATCATTGAAACTGAATTTAGGTATATTGGAGACCAGATCAGGGTTGCATATTCCAGCTTGCTTCTGAAAAAAGTAACGAACAAAGTCATTAAAGTGCTGACATTGGAGAACCCCTTCCAGTTTCTGATACAGAAGCCAAGTATTCTGGTGGCAGCCGATGAGATATTAAGTATATGTTCGCTAAACATTAGCCGGCTATCAAAAGTTACTCCAAGGTCCTTAAAAGAGAAGCATCTGTCTAGAACCTGTCCGTTGACGTTATAATCATCATACTTTAAATAATTAGTTTTTGTTGTATAAGACACATTTTTACATTTAGAAATATTTAAACTAAGACAGTTTCGCGAGCACCGGGAGAAAATTAAATCTAAATTATCCTGCAGCATCATCAATTGACTCGACCGATGCGTAAATCTCAACGTCGTCAGCAAAAACAGATGCAAACACTTGAGCTCAAGAGACAAATCGTTGATAAAGATCAGGAACAATAATGAGCCTAGATTTGATCCCTGAGGCACCCCAGATGTGGCCTGATAATAACTCGACTTATAACCACCATATTCAACAAACAGTAGTTGCATATGTGCATCCATTTCGGGCCTGATGAAGCCAATCAGCAGAAATACATATTGCTCGGGTTACCAATCCTACTTTCGGCTCGAATTCACTTTCCTTCTTTTTGCGGATCTTGCCCGTTAATTTTTCTATTTGTTACATTACCTTTCTCCGCATGATCCTTTCCTTTATATATTTTGAATAATGACATGTCTGTTATTCCAGGCTTGGATTCAAAATGCAACACTCAAAGACAACATTCTTTTCGGCCAGCCATACGATAAATATAAATATGAAAAGGTAGTTGACGCATGCGCTTTACGATCGGATTTCAATATGCTACAAGCTGGAGACGCAACTGAAATCGGTGAAAAGGGAATCAATTTATCAGGAGGACAGAAACAAAGGGTGAGTACCTATGGTCTTATTTATTTACAATTGTTCTTCATAAAGATTAGCTTTCATTTTGACGATGAGATTCCGGATGTGCATCAAGCTTTCGATCAGAGCACGTACAGAGTTAGAGGCAGTTAGGCTTCTGAAGAAGTATCTCGGTATGATGATTTGATCCCATTTAATGCCAATAGAACTAGCGGTGGTCGAGGTATTAGGATTGATAGCTCAACTGTTACACAGAGTGCTACGCGGAATGTCTATTTATAGCCCTCGAATGGCTGAATATCCTTGATGTAGTGAAAGCCTCGCACACCTAACATATTGGACCAGCATCATCATATCTTCCTATTTTACAAGCTTTATTTAACTTGACCTGTTTGTCAGTATGTTAACATGTGTGGGACAAATATTGAACTGAACCACTTCACATTAACCGATTGTGCTGAAATGTTGTACACACGTTTGGTTTGGTGACAAATGACAATACAGTACAATTATCTACCGCCATTTTGAATCTAATATGACGGATGCTACAAAATCGCGATTCATTATTTCCATGATTTCATAGTAACCCCTATGATTTGGGCATCACATAATAGGGCTTGATATGAAAAACGCAATAAACAAAATGGCGATTTACGGCATGGGTATCAAATGAAAGTGATTGTGAAACACAATAAGGAAAGAGGCGACAATTTTGTTTATCAATTATGTCGGCCGGCGTATTTATATTGTGACATATAGTACTGTTGGCGCCATCTGTTGCGTGAGTCTCCTACTCACCAGAGCTTCATGGCCGATCTCTGCTTTTACGCGAACCACGACCGCACAAGCCGCGTGGCGGCGTCTGTGAGGAGACCGTGGCAGTGACTCACCTTCTAGATCGACGCGAAGTGACCTGCAATATTCTAGATGTCGCTTTGTGGTTCACCATACCTTTCTCGAAGCAGCAATGGGTACTATACTAAGTGACATATAAATCTGAACACCCAGTTTAAATGGTTTTATTTTAATAAAAGTTGGTGAATGTATTTATCTTACTGTAAATAACAAGTGAAGAAATCTTCAGCCTTATCAGTTGGCCATTCCGGTTTTTATACTACTTTTTTTTAATTCAATAACGCTCTAAAAATGAATATTTCAGCCGCAGTAAAGAATCAACGTTGGCGGATTTTGGTTCTTGACATCCTTTACGATCGGTTACGATGCCTAGAGTACGGAGACCTGTACGATTTCGTCAACTTAGTGAGTTTGATAGGGGCCGTATAGTGGGACTTCAGGAAGCTGGACTTTCTTTTCGGGCAATTGCAGTTAGAGTGCAAAGAAGTGTAGACACTGTGGTTAGGTGTTGTCAGGCATGGCTTCGAGAAGGCCGTACGCAAAGAGCAAGGGGCACTGGACGCCGCCGTAGAACAACAGACCGTGAAGATCGCCGCCTAAGATTATTGGCCTTAAGGGACCGTTTCTCCACTACCAGGTCCATTGCAAATGAATGGTTTGCAGAACACGGAAGACCTATTGGCATGCGAAGTGTTTACCGACGAATGAGAAGTTTTGGCTTGTTTTCATACCGGCCACACTGGGTCCTCCCTTTAACTCGAGAACACCGACGTAATCGCCTTGAGTGGTGCAGACAACGGTCACTCTGGGATCAGGAATGGAACAGTATTGTCTTTAGTGACGAGTCTCGATTTTGTTTAGGCATGCACGATGGTCGAGCTAGGGTTAGAAGGCGACGTGGTGAAAGGAGGAATCCACAGTTTTTTGTTGAAAGACATGTTCATCACACTGTTGGAGTTATGGTTTGGGGTGCTATAGCTTATGGTTCCAGGTCACCTTTAATCTTCATCAGAGGTAACATGAACGCGTAGCGTTATATCCACGATGTTCTAGAACCCCATCTTTTACCCTATCTTGACACCCTGGCAGATCCAACTTTCCAACAAGATAATGCCCGACCACATGTTTCAAGAGTCACAATAGACTTCTTTCAACATAATGATGTCACATTGTTACCATGGCCACCAAGATCTCCCGACTTATCCCCAATTGAGCACGTGTGGGATATGATGGGTAGGAGATTGCTCAATTTGCAACGTCCTCCTCAGACTCTAGAAGCACTTCGAGAGGAGTTGGTGGTTGCCTGGAATGAGATACTACAGGAGGACATTGACCACCTGATCAGAAGCATGCCTAGGCGCGTTGGAGAATGCGTAGCACATCAGGGTGCATCCACACATTATTAAAGGTCAATGGGCTTTAAAGCAGTGCAATCATTTTGAAATTTTTATCATTTACTTATTATGCTTCATTAAGTACTTATACAAAATTTTATTAAAATAAAACCATTTAAACTTGGTGTTCGGATTTATATGTCACTTAGTATAGATATAACTCGGCGGCCGGGAGATGGAAGCGCAGTACTGACTACGGTAGAGTAGCAGAGCTGAGTGGAGTATAGTGCAGTCAATGGCGACTTAAGAATTAGTCAGACATAAATAGTGGTGTACATAAATGTTCTAACAAGTTAAATAAATTAGTGCATTTATTTTTGAGGAATCTAGTGTTTTAATCCACACCCAAACGAACCCAGAAAAACGATACAATATTTTCACAATCACCCCTATGCTATGGATATCAAATAAAACGGTTTGATGACAGAAACGAAATAAGCAAAGTGACGTCATTCTAAATCTAATATGGCGACAGCTGCAAAATGACGATTAACATATTTCATAGTCTCCCCTACGACATGGGTATGAAATTAAGGGGGTTGTTGAGAGAAACACAATAAGCATAGTGACGTCATACCAAATCCAATATCTCGGCTGCCGCAAAATCGAGATTTTTCACGGTCACCTCGATGATTTGAGTATCAAATAAAAGAGCTTGATGAGAGAAACGCAATAAACCAAGTGAAGTTATTATAAATCCAATATAGTGGCCGCCTCAAGATGGCGTTTATAATTATCAAAGTCACTCCTATATGATGGATACATATAGAAACATAAAAAGACATCGCGTTATAATTCTAAATCAAATATGGTTGCTGCAGCAACATCAATTTGACATTATATGATCTATATCTACCGAAATTGTATAGTATAAATTAAGTTTTCCTATTAATAAAATATGTAAAAGTGTTCAGAAATTACCAGACATTTGACATCATAAATTCTAAAAAGTGAAAAATAAATTTTTACAAAAAAATTAAAAATAGTTGAAGCTACTTCATCTCAAGTTTTCAAATATACTAAGTGACATATACATCCGAACACCCAGTTTAAATGGTTTTATTTTAATAAAAGTTGGTGAATGTATTTATCTTACTGTAAATAACAAGTGACAAAATTTTCAGCTTTATCAGTTGGACATTCCGGTTTTTATACTGCTTTTTTTTAATTCACTAACGCTCTAAAAATGAATATTTCAACCGCAGTAAAGAATCAACGTTGGCTGATTTTGGTTCTTGACATCCTTTACGATCGGTTACGATGAATAGAGTACGGAGACCTGTACGATTTCGTCAACTTAGTGAGTTTGATAGGGGCCGTATAGTGGGACTTCGAGAAGCTGGACTTTCTTTTCGGGAAATTGCAGTTAGAGTGCAAAGAAGTGTAGACACTGTGGTTAGGTGTTGTCAGGCATGGCTTCGAGAAGGCCGTACGCAAAGAGCAAGGGGCACTGGACGCCGCCGTAGAACAACAGACCGTGAAGATCGCCGCCTAAGATTATTGGCCTTAAGGGACCGTTTCTCCACTACCAGGTCCATTGCAAATGAATGGTTTGCAGAACACGGAAGACCTATTGGCATGCGAAGTGTTTACCGATGAATGAGAAGTTTTGGCTTGTTTTCATACCGACCACACTGGGTCCTCCCTTTAACTCGAGAACACCGACGTAATCGCCTTGAGTGGTGCAGACAACGGTCACTCTGGGATCAGGAATGGAACAGTATTGTCTTTAGTGACGAGTCTCGATTTTTTTTAGGCATGCACGATGGTCGTGCCAGGGTTAGAAGGCGATATGGTGAAAGAAGGAATCCACAGTTTTTTGTTGAAAGACATGTTCATCACACTGTTGGAGTTATGGTTTGGGGTGCTATAGCTTATGGTTCCAGGTCACCTTTAATCTTCATCAGAGCTAACATGAACGCGCAGCGTTATATCCACGAAGTTCTAGAACCCCATCTTTTACCCTATCTTGACACCCTGGCAGATACAATTTTCCAACAAGATAATGCCCGACCACATGTTGCAAGAGTCACAATAGACTTCTTTCAACATAATGATGTCACATTGTTACCATGGCCACCAAGATCTCCCGACTTATCCCCCAATTGAGCACGTGTTGGATATGATGGGTAGGAGATTGCTCAATTTGCAACGTCCTCCTCAGACTCTAGAAGCACTTCGAGAGGAGTTGGTGGTTGCCTGGAATGAGATACCACAGGAGGACATTGACCACCTGATCAGAAGCATGTCTAGGCGCGTTGGAGAATGCGTAGCACATCAGGGTGCATCCACACATTATTAAAGGTCAAAGGGCTTTAAAGCAGTGCAATCATTTTGAAATTTTTATCATTTACTTATTATGCTTCATTAAGTACTTATACAAAATTTTATTTAAATAAAACCATTTAAACTGGGTGTTCGGATTTATATGTCACTTAGTATACATACAAGCGCAAAATTATTTTTTAATTTTTAGTTCATTTTATGAACAGCAAAGTAAAAACTTGTTTTTAAAAAGGTATTTTTCATTTGCCTTATTTCTTCTGCCACTTTTAATATTACAAACTATTTTTCTTGATAGATCAGTCTGGCACGAGCAGTTTATAGCAATGCGGATATCTACCTATTGGATGACCCACTGAGTGCAGTTGACAGTCATGTAGGAAAACATATTTTTGAAAATGTCATCGGCCCTAAAGGACTGCTAAGCCACAAGACAAGAGTGAGTATATCGATATTATTTTGAGTAGTATCGATACAGCAAAGTAACATTGATTTTTGTGAGTAAAGTGAAATTGTGTAGTGAGTACCCAAAATGTGACCCTCATTTGGTTATTGATTCAAATACATGCGAAAAGTAGCTAACATTTTACAGAGTGACAACTTGCTTGACATCGGCGTGCAATTTGAGTTGTCAGGTTATGAATCTTATGAAATTGTACAATGCCCGGAAATACGATGAATGGAGAAGGCCGACAGGTCGTGCTAAATTTATTAGAGTATTTCTAGGAAGATAATGAAAACAAAGTTCCCCTGTTACCCACTTCATGCGTACGGGAGAGAGTAGCAGAGGCGCTGAAGATTAAGATCCGCCCATGGTACCGAACTCGATCTTACTTATTTAATATGACGCTGATGATGTAACCGCCAAGAGCAGTGATTACAACTATATCAAAAAAAATTTCAATAAATCATCTGAATGATCCAATTTCATTAGAAAGTCGAACATAGTATCTGACCATTTCAGAAAATATATAGGTGTAAAGGCTTATCGGACAGCATCTAGGAATAATAATGAAAATTGCAGCACTACCCAAAATCTTTTTCCACTATCAAAATACATAATTATGGACAAACTATTTATACTACTATTTATACTTGGCAATAATGGAGTTTCAGATAACGCAGAGACAATCAGGTCAGTGGTATGCTTTAGGGGAGGAGTCCTTCCAGCTGCTGTAAAATTCGATCATTGTGCTCTCAACAATTTCAAACAATCTTTGCAGTTCAGAGATTCTGATATGCAGGTTTTGCCGTCAAAATCGTGCTTGTCAAACACAAATTCACAATAATTCGTCAATACCTGAGTAGCGATGAAAAGCTACTGTTAGTACCTATTCTAATAATAAAATTCCACTGCCAACACTGAATCTATTGAAATATTATGACATGCAGAATACAGAGTGACAGATAACTATTTATAACGGGTGATTTTTTAAGAGGTATAGGATTTGATTTTAAAAAAAAAACACAAAAAATTTGAAAAAACGATTAAATCTTTATTTGAGTCGATAGAACGGTCTATATAATTTAATGTTTAAAGATTATTTCATGCAAAATGTTGGCCGCGGCTCCGCTTTAGATGGCCCATGCGCAAGGTCCAATTTTGGCACACTCTCTCCAACATATCGGCTGGTATCTCACGAATAAATGCTTCAATATTGGCTTCCAGTGCGTCAATCGTTGCTGTAGACATTAGCCTTAACATGGCCCCACAAGAAATAGTCCAACGGCGTTAAATCACACGATCTAGGCGGCCAATTGACGGGCCCCAAACGTGAGATAAACTATTCACCGAACTCGCCTCTCAATAGAGCCATTGTTTCATGTGTGGTGTGGCATGTGGCACCGTCTTGTTGAAACCACATGTCAGCCAAGTCCAGCTCTTCCATTTTGGGCAAAAAAAAGTTTGTTATCATCGCACGGTAGCGCTCGCCATTCACAGTTACGTTCCGGCCATTGTCGTCTTTGAAGAAGGACGGCCCGAAGATGCCAACGGCCCATAATCCACACCAAACAGTCATTTTTTCGGGATGCATTGGTAGCTCTTGCAATGCTTCTGGCTGGTCTTCACTCCAGATGCGGCAATTTTGCTTGTTAACGTACCCATTAAACCAGAAATGAGCTTCGTCGCTGAACACAATTTTTCGATAAAAATGTGGATCTTCCTCCAACTTTGCCAGCGCCCATTCACCAAATTGGAAACGTTGTGGGAGGTCTTGTGCCTTCAATTCTTGCACCAGCTGTATCTTATAAGGTTTTACACCCAAATCCTGTCGCAAAATTTTCCACGTAGTGGAGTAACAGGGGTCCAATAGCTGCGAACGGCGGCGAATCGACATTTCACGGTCATCACTAACACTGGCGGATACAGCCGCAATATTTTCTTCAGTCCTCACTCTACGTCTGCGAGTTGGTGGTTTAATGTCCAATAATGTAAACTGGGTTCGAAATTTAGTCACAAGCTTCCGAATAGCTCCCTCAGTAGGCCGACCAAATTTCCCATAAATTGGAAGCAGTGCTCGATGCATTCTCTTAACCGAGCATGAATTTTGATTGTAAAATTCAATAATTTGCAAGCGTTGTTCGTTCGTAAGTTGATTCATGGTTAAATTATAGACCAAACTGAACAAGTTTGACGATTCACGCGTCATCTGTCAAAAACAGTGTTGCCAAAAAGATACTAGCAAAAAAATCACCCATAATTTTTCAGGTTCTTGTTACGCATGGTATAACCTACCTTCCACAAACAGACAAGGTGATTGTTCTTAAAGATGGAAAAGTTTCAGAATCTGGAACGTATCTAGAACTTCTGAATGGGAAAGGAGCATTTGCAGAATTTTTATTGCAGCATTTGAATGAAGAGATTGACGATGAAACAGGTAATATGATATACAAGTATGTTGTCCAAAACCTCTCTTAAACTGATAGTAAAGCAAACACACACACACACACACAAACAAGAAATTTATGAAGATTTTGAATTAGGAAGTTACAACACACAGTTTTTCGTTTATGTTCAATGTTTCTGAACGTCAAGAATAACGGATAAAATGGTATTGTGAGCTCCTTAGTATGTTGTTTTTGCTGACTACTCAGACCTTAATACACAGACCTTCAAAAATTGCAACTGTCGGTCTCTCACATCAAAATGGGTCCGGAGTTTTCAAGATAACGGTGATATTTTTTTATTAATATCTTAGATTAGGGTCCCGGGGGCACCTTAGCAAATATCATTGGCAAAAAAATGTATGTCACTGCCTTTTTTGTAACTTTAATGTTTGTTGTTTGACTAAGCATCTAAAAACACAAATTCTTTGTCACTTGTTTTTTTTTTCGTATCGCACTACGTTTTCGAGAAAAAAAAATAAAAACCGTTTTATTATACATGTCACTGGAAAAAAATGGTTTATTAATTTTTGCTAAAAAAATCAAAAGCGCCTTGGAAAACAAAATTCCCAAAAAAATTCTAGGAAAGAGACTTATTGCAATTTTTCCAATAGGTAACATGACATAAGGTACACTACAACCAATGTTGGAAATGACCACCATCCATTTCCGTACACCTTGTATTGTATTTTTAGATGCTTAATCAAAAAACAAATAAAGTTACAAAAAAGGCAGTGGCGTACATTTTTTGCCAATAATATTCGTTCATGCAATTTATTTAGGGCTTTTTGTTTGTTTGTTTAAGATTTATTTAGCATGATTGCTACAATTACATTCTTCTAAAAAACTAAACAATTACATAACATACAGACATTCAGAAAAAAAACAAAATTTGCATCTCTAAGAATTTTAATTGTCCATGAAATATTCCTTTAATTTTCTTTTAAATATTTTTAAATTACAAGTAGACTTTATATCATTATTTAATTTATTAAATTCAAGTAATCCTTTCTGAAATATTGATTTGCTAGCTATATAACTATTGCAATTTTGTAGATGAAAATCTGTATTTCCTCTTGTATAATAATTGTGGTAATGATTATTCAATTCTATGTAGTGTTCTAAATGTTCTGGCAAAAGATGATTTTTTATTTTAAATATAAAAATAAGAACCAAATATGATATGAAATTTTTTATATTCAACCACTGCAATTCTTGTAACATAGATTTTATTTTGGTGTACTTGTTTTTATTCAATATTATTCTCATAGCTTCATTTTGCAAGACTTGTAGGTACCAATACTATGAGAAGCCCTATAAAAGTAATTTGTTTTTTATTTTTTTTGGCAATTTTTGAAATAACCTTAAAAATAAAATAAAAAACTGAAAAAGAAAAGGAAAAAGAAGAATAATAGTAAAAGAAGAATTAATAAATATGACATAATGCGTACGATTAGAACAAAGAACATAAAACGTACGATTCAAAGAGAAGACAATAACCGAAGAGCTCGATAAGTAGTTCTTATATTTTTTTTAGAAAAGTTGCTGATGAAACATTGTTCGAAAGAGTTGATCAATTTCACCGCATTATACGTAAAAGACCGTTGAAAAATGGCTGTCCTATGTTGTGGCATTGTCAGGAGATTAATGTTGCGCGTATTCAAATTGTGAATTAAATTCCTACGAACAAGCTTTTGCATAAGATAAACCGGAACAGAAGTTTTTAATATTTTTACGACAAATGTAACAAAGTTGTATTTGAAAAGATCAGAAATTTTCAACCAATTCATTGAAGATATTGAGTGAGAAACATGATCGTACCTTCTTAAATTGTTTATGTAACGACTAAATGAGTTTTGAATTTTTTGCAGTCTGTATTTTGTGATTTCATCCAGACAGGGATAATAAACTATGTTGCAGTAAGCGATTTTACTGAGTATGAGTGACTCGCATAACATTTTCTTAATTTTTCTATTTAAAACAGTTTTACTTGCATATAGAAGCCTGAGTCTAAAATAACTAGACTTACACACATAGCCAACATGCTCCTGAAATCTGAAATCTTCATCCAAGTACAAACCTAAATTTTTTGCAGAATGGGAAAATATTAGGATACTATTATTTAGTGATAAATTTAACTTTGATTTGAGGAAAGTACGTTTTTTCTTGGAGCAAAAAAGTATAGCTGTCGATTTCGATGCGTTTAGACGTAAATTATCGTTTTGCAGCATATGTCCATAAGTATTGCAGATCTTGATTGATAATGTTGTTAGCTAAATGGTAGTTGTTCGGATAGAAATTATGAAAAACCTGCATATCATCAGCATTTGGTTGACTAGAACAATGTTGAAGGGTGTTAGAAATGTCAAAGGTGTATATAAGGAATAAAAGTGGATCTAATATGGATCCCTGAGGCACGCCGGAACAAATCGGCCTTTTGTCTGAAAGTTTATTTTGTATGACGACATATTGATGTCGTTCATTTAAATAGCAATCTATCCATTCCAGAACCAAGTCGTCACACCCAATGTGTTTACATTTAGAAACTAACAGCTTATGATTCAGGGTGTCAAAAGCCTTGCTGAAATCCAATAAGACTAATGCAGTTGTTTCTCGGCTATCCGCCGCTGTTAGTACATCGTCACAAACCCGTTGCAAAGCAGTAGTAGTACTGTGACCCTTTCTAAAGCCTGATTGATTTAATGGCAAAATGCTGCGTTCGAGTAAATACTCATTCAACTGCATATAAACTATTTTTTCTAGAATTTTTGATAGAGCTGAAAGCAAGCTAATAGGTCGGAGATCACCAGGAACCTGGGGATTGGGAATCTTTGGAAGAGGTTGCACTAATGCTTCCTTCCAAGCACTTGGAAAAACACCGCGCTCTAAAAAACAATTTATTAAGTGCAAAATGTATATTCCTACAGCAGGTAGACATAATTTAATCATCTCAATGGTAATGCCATCCATACCACTAGAATTGGACTTGATACTGCGAATAGCATCCAATACTGTAGATATATCGACAAGACGGAACTGAAAATGAAAATCTTGGTTTGATTTGTTATGGCTATAAAATTCGATAGTTTCCGAGCAATCATCGTCAATTTTCTGGAATATACTGGTAAAATAGTTATTTATTTCATTGGGAACTGCTAAATCATCTGGAATGTCAGTATTACTAGAATCCTGAATTCTAAATGACTTAAGAGCTTTATAAAGAGCTGCAGAGTTTCTTTGTCGAGATAGATGTTGAAGGTAGCATGATTTTTCTGCACGTGTAGCAGTTTTTGTAAAATTTCTCAGTTCATTGTAATGATTTCGATTCGCATCCGTTCGAGACCGGTATTTCCCTATTAGCATACATTTTGTTTTAGAAGTATCCAATTTTAGTATATTCACATTTAACCAATTTACGATTTTTGCCAAGTCAGAATTTATCATTTTTAAAGCAGTGTCTATATTTTCATCTGATATGTATAGGATGTATTAATGTATCATCTACAAATATCTGAAGTTTACAATAATCTAAAATATTACAAATGTCATTAATGTATAAAATAAACAGTAGTGGACCTAGTTTACTACCTTGTGGTATACCAACAGAAATATTTTTTGATGTTGATACTGTAGATCCAATTTTGGTTTTTTGACTTCTGTCAATTAAATAGTTTTGTAGAATTTTGAAACCATTTGTGTAGGCGTTTCAGTTGAGTGTTTCTTCCTGAATCCACTAGCTACATTAGCACCTTAATACAACAAATAATATTGCCAGATTTCAAAAAAATTGAGTTGATATTTTTAAAGATAATATTTTTTAATTTATCACCCTGTATCTTGAAAACTCTGCATTTCCGGATCCATGTTTATAGGAGCTTTTTTCATATTTTTTAACAAGGAATCGCTCTCTAAAATATCTCCGTCTATTTTTCGAAGACCTTGTACGAATATTGAATTGGATGCTGATGATAAAAATTAGAAAAATATTATATATCATCTTCTGCTCCAGAATTAGACGAGATCACTGATCAGTTAAACGACACCGCAATAGGCGAAGAGGTCAGAAGAATTAGTAGAAGCAGACTTCGCGTGTCCGAATCAATATCCGAATCAGGATCTGAAAGGACAGGAAATGGCTTGTATCAGCGTCAAATATCGGTAGCTAGTCAAAAAAGTATCAGGAGCATAAACAAGATGGCAAAGTCAACCGAATCGCTAGGAAAGGAATCTGCCAAAGTGAAAAAGGGGAAGCTGATCGAAGCCGAAAAAGCAGAAACAGGTAAGGATCATATAGAGCAGAATTCAGGTGGCTCACAACATATTTTAAAAAGGTGTAAAAATCATAGAAGCTTCCGTAAATTTTATAAATTCTCATAATAAACACAAGCAGCGGCAACACTGCGGTGAGCGATCTGTTCGAGAACGATCTCGATTACTTTGAACGGAATAAATACGCAAGGCGGGGCGCCACCGCACAAAGTCCAGCGGTGGGGCTAGAGTTGGCCTGTGCTTTAAAAACATTATGAGCAGTAGTAAGAAGATAAAGACATACCATTTCCTTTCGGAATGGGAAGAAGTTAAAGGTAAAAATGTATGTTTGTTATGTAATACATCTGTTTCGGTTACTAAAAAAGGGAATATCGAGAGCCACTATAAAACTGTACATTCGAATTTTGAAAAATTATTCCCATTACGTTCTGCAACCAGAATGGAAAAACTGAAACAAATAAAAAATAAGTTAATTGGACAACAGATAATGTTTTCAAAAACAATCGACAAAAGTAAAGCTGCAAATGAAAGATTTCAACAAAATTGCTATAGCGGCACAAGGCACAATTTGTTGTTCCACCAGTCATGGAAATTGATATTCAAAAGTGGGGGAGGGTATATCTCCGTTCACACTTGTCCTTACAACTTGGAATGGTGGATAAATATTTCCGACCCTCGCGAGTCCATCACATGCTTCGCGGTACTGCCTACATATTTTCTCATGGAGCCAAATCCTATAGAACTATAGAGGGTATTTTAATTATATGACTCTGTTTAACTAACTTGATCCGTGTAATTTTTGGTTATTCAGGATGGGACATCACAAAATTTACGTCTGTACCTAGAAAAGTTTGCTAATTTTGATAATATAAAAGGATATTGGCAATTTAATCCAGATCTCTTCCAAAGAGAACCTCAGATCGTCGAACACTCGCCTGCAAGTTGCTCTTGAGATTGCCGCCATTTCTTATCTAAAGCTTCGCTTTAATTCGTTGAGGGTCCCCTTATGAACTGACGACAGCATTGCGTGAGTCAACCTACTTGACGCTATTTTTTTGCATAAACTTGTGGCATTATTTTATGTAGTCGAGAAGCTGCCGTCTGATTCTGCATACAAAAAAATGCAATTTTTTTACAGGAAACGTGAAATGGGAGGTATATAAACACTACATTGCATCAATCGGAGTATGGTTAATGCTATCTGTCCTACTCCTGAACATAACGTACCAAGCCTTCAGTGTGGGTTCAAACGTATGGGTAGGAATTTGGGCTGATGATAACGATACTATGATCAACGGGACAGTGAACACGGCGAAGAGGGATATGTATTTGGCTGTATATGGTGTTCTGGGCATTGGACAAGGTAAACTATCTTTAGTTTAAGTTTTTCTTCATATTTGTTTGTTGAAGATTTATTTAGCATTAATGCTACAATATCAATGTTACACAGCGCTTATCACATTATATATATATACAGGGTGACTTTGAAGTTGAGTCATTAATTTTCAGATAATGATTGTAGAAGGAAGATAAACCAAAATATGTGTGTAAAAATAAAAAAAAATTAAAAAAATTTGTTTACCTTGTTTTATAAAGTATCCTCCCGACAAGTATTTCAGTGCGGACCTGTATTTGATCGTGAGGTCTTGGAGCACCGGCATGCCCTCCCCTGTGAGGTCTTAAGTCACCTGATTCACGAGCCCGTTGTACTACATTAACAAAGGCACGAGGGGTTGGTTGCACTCGATTGGGAAACCGATCCGCATAAATATGTGCCATTTTTTATTTCGTTTGAGCCACGCAGCAAACACCACTATTCACTCACGCGTTACCGACTGACACATCGACTGAATAAAAACATCGTGATCAGCGTTTCAAATTATTTCGCTTTTTTGTTTCCGATGCGATGAACCGATAAGGCGGAGTATATCCGTTGTTGCCAAACACGAGCACATAATATTATTATTGAGACAGGACGGTACTCAAACTTCTAAAGGGCTATAACTTTGTTACTTTAATTTTACCACAAAAACGTTAAAGGAAAAAACATTTCTTTTGATCAGATCTACTCACTGTTAAAATAAATGACTCAACTTCGAAGTCAGAACAGAAATGTTTTTTTCCTTTAACATTTTTGTGGTAAAATTAAAGTAACAAAGTTATAGCCCTTTGGATGTTTGAGTACCGCCCTGTCTCAATTATAATATTATGTGCTCGTGTTTGGCAACAACGGATATAATCCGCCTTATCGGTTCATCGCATCGGAATTTGGAACGATGTTTTTACAATTATTTTATTCAGTTGTATACAGTCAGTGTCAGTCGGTAACGCGTGAGTGAATAGTGGTGTCTGTTGCGTGGCTCATGTTTATGCGGATCGGTTTCCCAATCGAGTGCAGCCAACCCCTCGAGCCTTTGTTAATGTAGTACCACGGGCTCGTGAATCAGGTGACTTAAGACCTCACAGGAGACGGCATGCCGGTGCTCCAAGACCTCACGATCAAATACAGGTCCGCACTGAAATACTTGTCGGGAGGATACTTTATAAAACAAGGTAAATTTTTTTTTTTAATTTTTATTTTTATTTTTACACACATATTTTGGTTTATCTTCCTTCTACAATCATTATCTGAAAATTAATGACTCAACTTCAAAGTCACCCTGTATATATATATCATATCTTCAAGTCTATATAATTTGTATAAAAAATCTTACTACTATAAATTCCGGTTTTCCATGAAAATTTCTCTTTAAACATTTTCAAACTGCCACATCTTGATATCGTTACTAAATTTATTAAATTCGTACAACCCTTTCTGAAATTCTGATTTGTTTGAAATATTGCTACTACAATTTTGTAAATGAAAGTCTAGTAGAATAACTGTCATTGTTCAATTCAACAAAATTTGGTAGATGATTTTTTTAACTGGAATATGAAAACGGAAACCAAATAGGTTATGAAATTTTTGATATTTAACCATTGTAGTTTTTTCAGCATAAAATTTAATCTAGTATATTTATTTTTATTTGAGATGATTCCCATAGCTTTATTTTGTAATTTTGGAATTAGTTTCATTAGCAGTCATCAAAATAGTCGAACAATATAACAAATAAGGAAGAATGTGTTGTAAACATTTTCTTGGAATAAACGCTTAGATATTTTTGAAATAACGTATTCATAGTGCCCTTCAAATTTTAATTTACTATCTACGTATATGCCCAAATATTTAAATGCTTCGATTGACTAAATTTTTTCATGATTAATCGTAAGATTTGTCGTATTTTCATCGAAAGATTTTCTTATAAGCATATTTTGGTTTTCTTTGTGTTTAACCTGAGTTTATTCACATTCAACCAATTATGTTTTTCATATCATTATTTAACAGCTCTATTGCAGTCTCAATGTCTTTATTTGACATATGTATATATACAGGGTGGCCCATCCATGTGTGGACAGAATATTATTCATCAACAAATAAATTTTGGGAAAATCTATTTATAGCATGTTATATATGACATTTGAGGGCACATTTCTGAAATATTGGCAATTATACAGGGTTTCCCAATTTTGACCTACATATCAAAGTTATTTTTTAAATGGAATGCCTCAAATTTTATTGCATATTTGGATAAACCAATTCAGAATAAGAAGATTCATATAACATACTATGGGGTTTTGGTAATTAGCTACTGAGATGTAAGGTGTTTTGTCCACAAAAACCGTCCACTTCAGCAACCCCTCAATCCGCCATTTTGAAATTTGGAGTGCTGAATTTTATATAAAAAAACTTACACACCTCATCTTTTATCTTATTTGTTAGTATTGCAATTTTTCATTTTTGCTCATACAGGGTGGTCGAAAACGCGAATTGTACTTTTTGTCAAAAATTTCAAATGCATCACCCTGTATATTTGTGCCAGTTTGGATTCATTTTTTATGAGTTTTTTTGGAAGGTTTGATTCAAATAAAATTACTAGATTTTGAGCTATTAACCTTTCAATAGAACAACATATCAAAATTAAGGAAAACAATCGCTTCATCCATGCAAACAAAAGACAAAGTGGGCTAGTTCCATATTCAGCTTCAAGCGTGATAAAGAAAAACGACATACGGCGCTCATATACAACATGGTGATTTCGACAGAGAAAACTAAATCGATAGTAATATCAGCGGAATCGAGACGATGTAAACTGGTCGTAAATAACAAAATAATAGAACAAGTGATGGAAACGGAATACTTGGGAATCAAACTGTCAAGCAATGGAAAAGTGGAAGAAGAAGTACAAAAACAAGTGAACATGGCGAACAGAGCAGCAGGATGTCTCAACAATACAATCTGGAGAAACAAATACCTTACAACGGAAACGAAAACTAGGATATATAAATCAACAATAAGACCGATAATGACGTACACAGTGGAAACAAGACCAGATACGGCGAAAACACAAAGATTATTGGAAACAGCAGAAATGAAAGTAAGAGTAAGAAGTGAGGAAATACGATCGAGATGTGGTATAGAGGAAATAAACCTGTGGACCAAAAGAAGAAAAATAGAATGACAGAAATTAGAACAGTACGAATAGCAAGAGATAAATCGTCAAATGGAAGAAGATCAATGAGACGACCGAGGAAAAGATTATCAGACAACATCAATTGAGGCTAAAAACCGAAGTATAACAGGCATGAGCCTATTAATAAAGTACGAAGAAGAAGAACAACAACAACATAAACAAACAGCTATCACTACTCAAGACCTAATCTACAGAAACTGCTCCAAAATATTACTGTAAACCTTTTTTCATTAGAAAGTAGAATATTAATAATAATAAATGCCTTTATTCCCAAACAGTTCTCAAAAAAATATTATAATATAGTATATATAAGCATTTTGAATGTTTTTCATTTCTAGCCTTCTCAACGATGCTAAGCAACCTCCTTTTCGCCAAGGGCACCATCAGAGCAGCGGTAAAGATTCACAAGCAGCTTCTGCACAATGTGATGCGGGTACCGTGCGCATTTTTCGACATCACACCCGTTGGCAGGGTGCTAGGAAGGTTCTCTCAGGATATCAACGGGATTGATCTGAGGCTACCGAATGCCTTCCAGATGCTGATGAGCACCATTGTTAGGGTAAGAGTAACCGACTAGTGAAATACTAAGAATTTATTGGGTAGAGCCTATTTCACGAATATCCATTACGTTTTGACGTCTTCTGAGATAAACAGCTTTTTTTACCACGAAGGCCTAAGGCCTAAACACCCATTGGGTATCGTGGGGCTATAGGGGAATACAGGGGAAAGGGGGAACACGTGTGCATGCAACAGGCACACATTCTGGCTCCGCCTACGAGATCCGCCGGGTGGTACCTCCGCGTTCGACAGTCAGAGACCGCCTACCACCTACGGACAATCAGCAAGTGATTATGTTTGTATTAGTCTATAACGTTGGCAATAATGAATCGGGTGTAAGTCTGGTAAAACTCAGGGCCGTATTAGGAGCTATTGCTCACATATCTAGACACTTTAGTGACTGGGAATTTTGACAATAAAATATACGAAGTACACATAGAAAAATGTTTATTAGAAAATTATTATAGTATATCTAGTTCTAGTCTAATCAGACGAAATTTACCTTGGTTTGCGAAACAGTTGTAAAGTTTGGTTTTATTGATCCCAATTGTATAAAATATATACACCAATTTTTGTGGAAAAACTTTTCATACAATAAAGAGATTCAATCAAAAATGTTAGCAGGAACGAAAAGACTCTTCAATATCGAGTATCTGTGTATTACTATCGTCACATTACCAACCTGCATTTTGAGTATGTTTTCGATCATAACTCTCTTGCTATTAGTCGAATCTTTTTATGAAAGGTCTCATTTTGTAGGTCTCGTAAATACCCAAAAATCTTGTTTGAAAGGTTTTTTCGTTCCTGCCAACACGTTTTCTCATTCTTTGTTGTTGAATAAAAAGTTTCCCACAAAAGTCGGTGTAGCGATTTTATGCATCCATGTTTGAATACCCCCTTGAGCAACTTGCAGCAATAAAACCAGAGTTTACAATTATTTTGCAAATCAGGGATATTTTCGACTAATATGATTAGACTATTGATTGAATTTGTAGCTCGCGTGTTTTTAGCAAAACCAGCGTTCCCTTCTACTTCTCAACGGCTAATTGTATGATTGTTATATTGTATCAAATTTGGAGAGAATTCTACAATGTACTTACAAAAAAAGAAAGTATTTGTTAAGCATAAGTTATTGAATCTTTCAGGTATGTGGTACCTTATTCGTGATTAGCTTCTCGACCCCACTGTTCATAGCTGTGATAGTCCCTGTAGCGATTCTTTACATATGGATTCAGAGAGTATACGTAGCTACCTCTCGGCAGGTGATGAGACTGTCATCTGTCACCGCCTCACCTATATATTCGCACTTCGGGGAAACGCTTAGTGGAGCTCAATGCATAAGGTCAGTAGGCAACCTCACTTTTTTCACACAAACTCTTGATCTTAAGATTGTCTTAGTTCAACTCCGTCACTAAGTCAAACCACAGACGTTGGAAAAAATATTTTACTTTTCGGCAGGATTTTTCAAATCACATATTTAGAAAGTGAGGAACATTAACTTTCGTCTCAAAAATAATAATATTTATTCACATCAATTTGAAGAAAAATGCGAAGAAATGTGGAATTTTAGAAACAATATAATACTTTTAGGTGATTTTAATTTAAATTATTATGGTAAAAGCATCAAAACAAGAAAATTGAAAGAAACCATAAACAACTATGGGTTCAAGCAAAAAATTGAAGAGAGTACCAGAATAACATCATTATCAGAGACTTTGTTAGATCTTGTTATTGTAAATTTCGAATGTGCAGGGATTAAAGCTGTACATACACCTAAAGTTAGCGATCACAGTTGGACAATGCTGCCCTTGGTAAGGCATTTTTCTGATACAAAAATTAAGAAAATCGTAAATACTATTAAGTACGAAAAACTTGAACGAGAACTTGCTGGCTGCTATTGGAATTTTGGTGAGAATATGGAAAAAATACATGACAACATAATAGGAAATATAAAAACTTGTTTAGATCTTGCAACTGATAAAAAAGTGATTTGCTCGACAATAAATACACCCTGGTATAACAAGAATATTAAGGCAGCTCAAAATTTGAGAGACAAACAATACAATAAATGTATATTCACAAAATCAAATGATGATTGGGAGGTATATAAAACTCTTAGGAATAAATGTGTATATCTAATTAGAGAAGAAAAAAGGAAATTCTACGATAAACAAATCGATAATAACAAGTGCGACAGTGTAAAGCTGTGGAAGACTTTAAAAAGACTGATCAATTCGAAGCCACATGATTGTGTAAATCAAGTTCAATTCGAAAACGGTACCGAAACAAATTCTTTGGTGATTGCAAACAAACTAAATGAATATTTTGTGGAAAGTATTGTTGATATCGTGGGTACTGCCAATGCTGCACCTGACTATATGAAAATCAGTTTCCGGGGGGAAATGTTGCATACACTTTCAAAATTTCACAGCGTATCATTGAATTATCTAAGAAAAAAGTAAACAGTTTAAAATCAAATAACAACTGTGCCGAAATCACTACTAAAAACGTGCTGAAAAGCTGTTTCGAAATTTTGGGATATCCTGTATTAAATTGGATCAATTGTTCACTGAGAAGCAGTTCTTTTCATGAAAATTTGAAATGCTCTACAATAACACCAGTTCCCAAAATAAATTCTAAAAGATGCAGCGATATGAGACCAGTAAATGTGTTACCAGACATTGAAAAATTATTAGAGTCCATAGTGCATGACCAATTAATGCAGTTTATAGAAGAAAACAAAATTTTAGTAGAGGCGCAAGCAGGCTTTCGAAAAAAATATTCCACAGAAACAGCTTTCCAGTTGGTAACTGAGAATTGGAGAAGAGCCATAGACTCAGAAGAAGTTGTCATAGCAGCATTTTTGGATTTGAAGAGGGCATTTGAAACGATTGATAGAGATATTTTGTTAGGTAAATTGAAGGCATATGGTATAACAGGAAGTGTTTTAGATTGGTTTAGAAATCATTTGTCTAAAAGGATGCAAGTTACAAAAGCTAATAACACTATTTTATCAAAAATTGAAAATACATTGGGTGTTCCACAGGGCAGTATCCTGGGACCACTTCTTTTTATTTTATACATAAATGATTTACCTGCCATAGTCAAAAAATGCAAAATTCAGATTTTCGCCGATGACACTATGATTTATATAAGTACTAAAAATATTCAGTCTGGTATCTCTTATTTAAATGAAGACTTTAAGCTTGTCTCAAAATGGTTAGTATCTAACAGACTAAAATTAAATGCAAGTAAAACGAAAGCCTTGTTAATCGGAAAAAAACAATGTACAAATGTTCAACTGAATATTGATGGTGAAGATATTGAATTCGTAGAAAATTTTAAATACCTGGGGGTTTTTGTTGACTCTCGATTAATTTTTGATATTCATTATGAAAAAGTTATAAATAAGATTAGTAGTAAAGTGGGATATTTATCGAGAGTTTCTGGATGTCTGATTTCATATAGCAGAAAAATTATCTATAATACCATCATTGTTCCAAATTTCTTGTACTGTTCGACTATTCTATATTTAGCAAATAATTCCACTTTTGAAAGACTGCAAATTTTACAAAATAAGTGCATGAGAATAATACTAAATAAAGATAAATATACTCCAATTAGGCAAATGCTTAGCAAATTAAAATGGCTCAATCTAAAAAATTTTATCAAATATCTTGTAATGATATTCATTTATAAAGTAAAAAATAATATATTTTTTCATCAAGTCTAACTAATTTAACATCATCAAATGTCGACCATCATTTACATAATACCAGAAATAAAGATGACTTCCATTTAATGACCAAAAAGTATAACATATGCTACAAATCTGTATTCCATCAAGGGTTGATTGAATATAATAAATTATACTCGGAGATAAAAGATCAGAAAGCTTTGACAAAATTTAAAGTAAAATTGAGAAATCACTTGTTAAATCTACAATTATAGGTTGCCCAGCATTTACATCATACACCATATGGCTTGAATTTACTAGTTCTAAGTTGTTCACAATTATTCTGTTTATGTATCCAAATATGCTAAATAAATCTGTCTACTACTACTTCTACTACTACTACTAATTATGAATAAATTGATACTTCACAAAAGGAACATATCCTTTTAACACATATAACATATAACACAGTAGTTACAATAAATTGATGGATAAGGTCTAGAAAAAATCTATATAACATAAATTTAATACCTCAATTTTGTATCAGTATTCAATAGCCACTCTTATAAATTTATTTTCCATAATCGTGTTTTCTTTATAATTTTGGACCTACGTATATATAAGACATTATTAGTTTGGCGTTGCAATGATTATTTGTTTATTTTTATTTCTAGTATATTATATTCCAGGGAGGCCCAACGAAAACGTCGCACCCCCATCCCCATTTGTGACTCTCCTGGTACATTTTGAGAAAAACGTCAATTTTTATTTCTAGGGCGACGTCCTTTTATCTATAGCCGTACAATACATCCAAAAATAAGATATTGCATTACACTTTAGATTTTTAGAAGGAAACCCCCATTTTTTTATTTTTACGTTTTCCATGAAGTTTTTAGTAACTTTTATAAAATAAAGTGTATGTGAACTAAAACTCCCTTAGGTAGCGTTTATTAGAACACTGATCTGTCAATAAAGTCAATATTTTAGAGCGTTAACTTTAATTCATTTTTTTTTTCATAGAGCCTATAAAAAGCAAGAGGTTTTCATCGAAGATTCAGAAAACAAAGTGGATCTTAACCAAATATGTCAGTACCCCACTATTATATCGTCTAGATGGTTATCGCTCAGATTGGAAACTATAGGAAACTTAATTATCTTCTTCGCTGCTCTATTTGCGGTATTAGAAAGAGAAAAGGAACCGGCTTTAGTCGGTTTGTCTGTTTCGTATGCTTTGCAGGTAAGATGTATTTGCTTTTATAATTTGGTAAATAGCACCGATAAACACAGGATTTGTGACATGATAATTTTTGGGTGTATCTTATGTATTTTGAGACCCTTAAATCAAATCTAAAAACAGAATTTTTCTATCACCCACAGATATTCGGTAAAAACTACTTTTGAAAATATGTTTTCATTTGCTGTAAACAAGACGGTTGAACAATATAAAAATATGAAAACAATTATTGGGTTGTCGGAAAAGTCATGACGTATATGCAACAAAGTATGCAATTGCATGGTTGGAAGTACGTGAGTCAATGACATTTGTATGTTGATTGTGTAGTTTGACAGTTGACACTTCAAGCTTCATTTGCACCAAAAAACTTAAGTGATTTATTTGAGTCTCGTCGATTTTAGAGGACGTTGAAGATGGACGACCAAACTGTGCATTTTCGTCACATTTTGCTGTATTACTTCCGCAAAGGCAAGAACGCAAGACAAGCGTGTGAAAAGTTGAGAAAGGTGTATGGAGAACATGCACTACAAGAACGGCAATGCCAGAGATGGTTTAAAAAATTCCGAGATGGGGATTTTGATATCCATGACGCACCTCGATCAGGGCGGCCTACTGAGTTGGATAGTGACGAATTAAAGGCATTGGTAGGAGCAAACCCACATTACACCACACGTGAAATTGCAGAAACCTTAAAAATCCATCATTCAACCGTTCACGACCATTTGAAGAAACTGGGATACGTAAGCAAACTCGATCGTTGGGTACCACACGAACTGAGAGAGGTTCATTTGACGGCGCGTGTAGACATCTGCGATATGCTCCTTAAACGTGAGGAAAACGATCCTTTCTTAAAGCGCTTGATAACGGGAGATGAAAAGTGGATTGTTTACAACAATGTGGTTCGCAAACGGTCTTGGTCCCGAAATGTAGATACGCGTAACACGATCGCGAAAGCAGAGAGTCATCAGGAAAAGGTGTTGCTCTCTGTTTGGTGGGATTTTAAAGGGATCGCGTTTTTCGAACTCCTGCCAAAGAACCAAACCATCGATACAACTGTGTATTGTCGGCAATTGGACAGTTTGCAACAATCCATCATGCAAAAACGTCCGGAGCTCATTAATCGCAAAGGAGTTGTGTTCTACCATGACAACGCGAGACCGCACACAAGTTTGCTCACTCGTCAAAAGTTATTGGAGTTAGGATGGGATGTGTTACCACATCCAGCATACTCGCCTGATCTTGCCCCATCTGATTTTCATTTGTTTCGGTCGCTTCAAAATTCCTTGCGAAAAATACGCTTTACTTTAGATGAAGCTGTACATCAGCACCTTGTTAAATTTTTTGCCGGTAAAGACAAATCCTTCTACGAGCGAGGAATTATGAAGCTGCCTGAAAGATGGCGAAAGGTCATCGATCAAAATGGGCAATACATTATTGATTGAAGTTTGTGCTGTATATGAATAAAATGGCCTTAAAATAAACAAAAAAAAGCGTCATGACTTTTCCGACAACCAATATTTTAACTTTCTGATCTCATCATGTGGTTGTGTTTTTGGTCCTGGATTTCCCTATTTTCCCGACCAACAAATGAATTCACAATAGGCTAGTACTCACGCTAGGTATTATACTAAGTGACATATAAATCCGAACACCCAGTTTAAATGGTTTTATTTTAATAAAAGTTGGTGAATGTATTTATCTTACTGTAAATAACAAGTGAAAAATTTTTCAGCCTTATCAGTTGGACATTCCGGTTTTTATACTGCTTTTTTTTAATTCACTAACGCTCTAAAAATGAAAATTTTAGCCGCAGTAAAGAATCAACGTTGGCGGATTTTGGTTCTTGACATCCTTTACGATCGGTTACGATGCCTAGAGTACGGAGACCTGTACGATTTCGTCAACTTAGTGAGTTTGATAGGGGCCGTATAGTGGGACTTCGGGAAGCTGGACTTTCTTTTCGGGCAATTGCAGTTAGAGTGCAAAGAAGTGTAGACACTGTGGTTAGATGTTGTCAGACATGGCTTCGAGAAGGCCGTACGCAAAGAGCAAGGGGCACTGGACGCCGCCGTAGAACAATAGACCGTGAAGATCGCCGCCTAAGATTATTGGCCTTAAGGGACCGTTTCTCCACTACCAGGTCCATTGCAGTTTTGGCTTGTTTTCATACCGGCCACACTGGGTCCTCCCTTTAACTCGAGAACACCGACGTAATCGTCTTGAGTGGTGCAGACAACGGTCACTCTGGGATCAGGAATGGAACAGTATTGTTTTTAGTGACGAGTCTCGATTTTGTTTAGGCATGCACGATGGTCGTGCCAGGGTTAGAAGGCGACGTGGTGAAAGGAGGAATCCACAGTTTTTTGTTGAAAGATATGTTCATCACACTGTTGAAGTTATGGTTTGGGGTGCTATAGCTTATGGTTCCAGGTCACCTTTAATTTTCATCAGAGGTAACATGAACGCGCAGCGTTATATCCACGAAGTTCTAGAACCCCATCTTTTACCCTATCTTGACACCCTGACAGATCCAACTTTCCAACAAGATAATGCCCGACCACATGTTGCAAGAGTCACAATAGACTTCTTTCAACATAATGATGTCACATTGTTACCATGGCCACCAAGATCTCCCGACTTATCCCCAATTGAGCACGTGTGGGATATGATGGGTAGGAGATTGCTCAATTTGCAACGTCCTCCTCAGACTCTAGAAGCACTTCGAGAGGAGTTGGTGGTTGCCTGGAATGAGATACCACAGGAGGACATTGACCACCTGATCAGAAGCATGCCTAGGCGCGTTGGAGAATGCGTAGCACATCAGGGTGCATCCACACATTATTAAAGGTCAAAGGACTTTAAAGCAGTGCAATCATTTTGAGATTTTTAACATTTACTTATTATGCTTCATTAAGTACTTATACAAAATTTTATTAAAATAAAACCATTTAAACTAGGTGTTCGGATTTATATGTCACTTAGTATAAATGTTTTACTAAACATACTAATATTAATACTGCTGCAAATCACATTCGGTCAGATTGAGACCACTTCAATTACAAATGCAACATTCAATCAGTCGTCCCTACAATTGTAGGGCGCCTTTATGGCCTCCTTGATTGTCATAGTTTTCTACATCTCCGTGTCAGCGCTCTATTTTGAGGTTATGTCACAATCATCTATTTGCATCAAATTGTGCTTGCTTTTGAGTTATATCATCTTTTATCAGCCTGAAATTTCCTACAATTTAAAACGAAAACATATCTTCACAATAGGAGAGCGTTGACGCTGACACGGGACAAGTGTAATCTAGAAATTTTTGAAGGAGAAAAAGGAATATGATAATCAAGGAGGCCATAAAGGCGCCCTACAATTGACTGACGATACGGGCCTTAGAGATTTTGTATGCCAAGCTGCGCTGACTAGACTAACAAAATTTATGTAGTTCCAAAATTGAGGCATTCGAGCATTTGTCGGTTAAATGTAGGTCATGTATGAGAGACAATGGTGCTTATTACACTGATATCTTAAATGTAAATTATCATTTAACAACAATCCTGTCCATTTTTTTTTGTATCCAAGCCATATAATGTTATTTTCTGATATCTACGAAAACTGACCCTCCTCCATTATAACAACAATAAAACAGCAGAATGCGAAAAACGAATCATTTAAAAATTGCCAATAGTTGGCCAACTTTTTCGTCAAATTGGCACAGTGATCATACTTGTTCCTCTCACTCTAAAGGATTTCAAAGTCAGACGTGAGAAGGGGTTTTAATAAAAGTTCAGACTTTGGCATGCTTAATTCTAGATATTTCAAAACAAACCTGGTTCAAAAAAGTTGACATTTGTAGGAAAGGCGAGCGATTAAATGAATATAAGCGTTAAATAAATGAAAGCTGAAATTCTCAAAAACTATAAGACTTTTAAGAAAACAAAATTTTACCATCTAGTATGCCTTGACGTGATGTATCTACGAGTATAATTGCAGGATTAGCCTTCAATTTCGGGATACCCTGTATATCCGTCTTGCGCTTTTAAAAATTGAAATCGATATATACTAAGTGACATATAAATCCGAACACCCAGTTTAAATGGTTTTATTTTAATAAAATTTTGTATAAGTACTTAATGAAGCATAATAAGTAAATGATAAAAATTTCAAAATGATTGCACTGCTTTAAAGCCCTTTGTCCTTTAATAATGTGTGGATGCACCCTGATGTGCTACGCATTCTCCAACGCGCCTAGGCATGCTTCTGATCAGGTGGTCAATGTCCTCCTGTGGTATCTCATTCCAGGCAACCACCAACTCCTCTCGAAGTGCTTCTAGAGTCTGAGGAGAACGTTGCAAATTGAGCAATCTCCTACCCATCATATCCCACACGTGCTCAATTGGGGATAAGTCGGGAGATCTTGGTGGCCATGGTAACAATGTGACATCATTATGTTGAAAGAAGTCTATTGTGACTCTTGCAACATGTGGTCGGGCATTATCTTGTTGGAAAGTTGGATCTGCCAGGGTGTCAAGATAGGGTAAAAGACGGGGTTCTAGAACTTCGTGGATATAACGCTGCGCGTTCATGTTACCTCTGATGAAGATTAAAGGTGACCTGGAACCATAAGCTATAGCACCCCCAAACCATAACTCCAACAGTGTGATGAACATGTCTTTCAACAAAAAACTGTGGATTCCTCCTTTCACCACGTCGCCTTCTAACCCTGGCACGACCATCGTGCATGCCTAAACAAAATCGAGACTCGTCACTAAAGACAATACTGTCCCATTCCTCATCCCAGAGTGACCGTTGTCTGCACCACTCAAGGCGATTACGTCGGTGTTCTCGAGTTAAAGGGAGGACCCAGTGTGGCCGGTATGAAAACAAGCCAAAACTTCTCATTCGTCGGTAAACACTTCGCATGCCAATAGGTCTTCCGTGTTCTGCAAACCATTCACTTGCAAGGCCAATAATCTTAGGCGGCGATCTTCACGGTCTGTTGTTCTACGGCGGCGTCCAGTGCCCCTTGCTCTTTGCGTACGGCCTTCTCGAAGCCATGCCTGACAACACCTAACCACAGTGTCTACACTTCTTTGCACTCTAACTGCAATTGCCCGAAAAGAAAGTCCAGCTTCCCGAAGTCCCACTATACGGCTCCTATCAAACTCACTAAGTTGACGAAATCGTACAGGTCTCCGTACTCTAGGCATCGTAACCGATCGTAAAGGATGTCAAGAACCAAAATCCGCCAACGTTGATTCTTTACTGCGGCTGAAGTATTCATTTTTAGGGCGTTAGTGAATTAAAAAAAAGCAGTATAAAAACCGGAATGTCCAACTGATAAGGCTGAAAATTTTTTCACTTGTTATTTACAGTAAGATAAATACATTCGCCAACTTTTATTAAAATAAAAGCATTTAAACTGGGTGTTCGGATTTATATGTCACTTAGTATATTTCGTAGATACTGTAAGAAATACTCCTTTATTCTTTAAATTAGATATGGGTCAAGTAGCCTATATATGAACAAACTAGCTACTAAGTTTCGGTTACCCCAGCAACAGTAAAGTAAAAACATTTCAAATGAATTTTGTTATTTGTTTGTTGTTCGTTTATTAACTAGAGCAATATTTAGGTAAAACAACACAGTTTGAACTAGTAATTCCTTCTTTATCATATAAAAGTATCAAGACATTATATTTCAAAAAAGTTAAATATAAACGCAGGAGTACCTCAAGGATCAGTATTAGGTCCCGACCATATTTTTAGTCTATATAAATGATTTAAAAAAAATTAAACATAAATTATAAATTCGTAGTTTTTCCTGATGATACTACAATGCTTTGGCAAGACACAGATATAAATTGAATCAAGACAAAAATTGATAGTTATATTTTATATTTTATACATAAATGATTTACCTGCCATAGTCAAAAGATGCAAAATTCAGATTTTCGCCGATGACACTATGATTTATATAAGTACTAAAAATATTCAGTCTAGTATCTCTTATATAAATGAAGACTTGAAGCTTGTCTCAAAATGGTTAGCATCTAACAGACTAAAATTAAATGCAAGTAAAACGAAAGCCTTGTTAATCGGAAAAAACAATGTTCAAATGTTCAACTGAATATTGATGGTGATGATATTGAATTCGTAGAAAATTTTAAATACCTGGGGGTTTTTGTTGACTCTCGAATAATTTTTGATATTCATTATGAAAAAGTTATAAATAAGATTAGTAGTAAAGTGGGATATTTATCGACAGTTTCTGGATGTCTGAGTTCATATAGCAGAAAAATTATCTATAATACCATCATTCTTCCAAATTTCTTGTACTGTTCGACTATTCTATATTTAGCAAATAATTCCATTTTTGAAAGACTGCAATTTTTACAAAATAAGTGCATGAGAATAATACTAAATAAAGATAAATACAGGGTTATCCAAATTAAGTGTCCACCATTAGTAACTTTGTTATTAGTGAAAATACAAAGTTGTTTGAATTAGCAAACTAGTAGCATTTTTAACGCTGGTAAAAATGAGAAATAAAAAAAAAAACAATTGAGAGTCGTTATTTTGATTTTTTTCAGTAAAATAACATTTTTTTAAATGGAAACCCCTGTATATTATATTTTTTTCTGTTAAAGCATCAAATTTTAAACAAAAAAGCTTACAATAACTTTTCTCCTAGGTTACAAATTGTTGAAGTTATGGCCTCCAATCTGAAACAATTAAATTGTATCGACAAACTTTATTTTCAACATCAACTTATAATCTTACAAAATACAATAACAATTTTTTTTAAAGAAGATGCTCAAAAACACCACCTTGTTCTTCAATACATTTTTGGGCACGTTTTTCAACTGCTCGAACTGTCTTAAGTATGGTCCTACCATCTATCTGGGTTATCTTTTCCCTAACTGCAGTCTCTAACGCGTCAAGGTTATCGTACCTTCGCTTGTAAATTTGGTTCTTTAAGTAACCCCACAAGAAGTAATCAAGTGGGTTTAGATCTGGTGATCTGGGAGGCCACTGTATTGGGCCATTTGTTCCTATCCACTGATCATTAAAAGTAGTACTTAGAAAATGATAAGTACCTCTGGAGTTGTGGGCAGGTGCGCCATCTTGCTGAAAATGCAGATGATGTCTACTTATAAGATCCAATTCGTCTAAGAAATTAGTCAGAATTTCTGACATAAATTCCACATATCTTTCACCAGTTAGGGTTCCCTCATAAAAGAACGGGCCAACAATTTTTGAACCAATTATACCGCACCAAACGTTGAAACTGAAACGGACTTGTGGGCCTCTTGGATGTACTAACAAAAGATTTTCTCTCGACCAATAATGGTGGTTTTTTCTATTAAACATTCCAGAATTTGAAAAATTTGATTCATCTGTCCATAAAAGGTAACGAAAGTTATTTACATTTTGGCGACAGAAGCTAAGATACCAATGGCAAAAAACAAGTCTTCTCTCTGGATCCCCTACCAAAAGCGTTTGAACTGGTCGGTACTTATACGGAATAAATTTGTATTTTTTTAAAATCCTTTGAACAGTACCATAACTGAAATTAGAGTCCTTGAGAATATCTGCTATTGAATTCTCACGATAAGCTTCAAAATATCCAATAACTGCAATTTCCGTGGCCTCGCTTATTATGAATTCTTTTTTTGCCCTTGTTTTACCAAAAACATTTTCGTTGCCCCTAAATTTTCGATAAAGTCTCAGAAAATATCGTTCATACGGTTGAATGCGAGCGGGATATAATTCACTGTAGTATTGCTCTCAAGGAGGATTTTCTGCACACTAAATAGCATTCTAACATATCACACTTTTCTTCATGGGAGAACATTTTTCTTTAAAATAATGACACAATAAAGCTTATAAACAAGTATTTACACTAATGTTTGACATTATTTGATTTTATCATTGTTTTCCAAAGCCTTCTAGTTGCGAGTATGTCCAGTTTAACAATTTGTCGCTTATCTTAATGCTGTCAAATCGCGAACGCCATGTTGTTTTCATAGCCGTCTTAATATTATAATACTGCAAATAATTAAAAATATTTATCGTTATTTTGACTTTATTTTTGACTTTAGCGGAAAAGTCATTATGAACTTTTTTGTTTAAAATTTGATGCTTTAACAGAAAAAAATATAATATACAGGGGTTTCCATTTAAAAAAATGTTATTTTACTGAAAAAAATCAAAATAACGACTCTCAATTGTTTTTTTTATTTCTCATTTTTACCAGCGTTAAAAATGCTACTAGTTTGCTGATTCAAACAACTTTGTATTTTCACTAATAACAAAGTTACTAATGGTGGACACTTAATTTGGATAACCCTGTATACTCCAATTAGGCAAATGTTTAGCAAATTAAAATGGCTCAATGTAAAAAATGTTATCAAATATCTTGTAATGATATAAAAAATAATATATTTCCATCAAGCCTAACTAATTTAACATCATCAAATGTTGACTATCATTTACATAATACCAGGAATAAAGATGACTTCCATTTAATGACCAAAAAGTATAACATATGCTACAAATCTGTATTCCATCAAGGGTTGATTGAATATAATAAATTATACTCGGAGATAAAAGACCAGAAAACTTTGACAAAATTTAAAGTAAAATTGAGAAATCACTTGTTAAATCTACAATTATAGGTTGCCCAGCATTTACATCAGACATATGGCTTGAATTTACTAGTTCTAAGTTGTTTACAATTATTCTGTTTATGTAGCCAAATGTGCTAAATAAATCTATCTTTCTACTACTACTACTAAATTCTTGAGACTGACCATTGATCATAAATTAGATTTTACTGATCATGTAGACAAATTACTGAGTAAATTACCAAAGATTTCCTTTATTATAACAAAAATTAGTTATAACGTAGGAAAAGCACAGCCTTAAGCAGTTACTTTGCTTATTTGAAAGTAGATTGAGATTGGTGTATCTGATCCCAAAATTGTTTAAAAAAGTGCTTATCCTGCAGAAACGGTCTATTAGATATATAATCAAAAGTAATCCTTGAGCTTCATGTAGGCCTTTTTTATATACTACAACCACCACGAAGGCCTAAAGCCTAAACACTCATGGGGTACCGTGGGGCTATAGGGGGATACAGGGGAAACGGGGAACGCCACACGGACTATGGCGAGGAAACACATATGCATGCAACGCCTACGAGATCCGCCGGGTGGTACCTCCGCGTTCGACAGTCAGAGACCGTCTACCACCTACGAATTGTGAATCTTAAAATAATGACTGTTGTATCATTATCCGTTTTGGAAACCGCAACTCTTATTTAAAAAATAAGTCTAAATTTGAATAATTACAATAAGTTAATTAAGTTACAATATTAGACGAAAAACAAGAACACACATTAGTAGCACCTCAGACCTAAGTGAAAACTTGTGAAAGACCCATTTATAATTTACATGTGTCTCCCTGATGTTAGCAAAAGAATTAACAATTTAATGATATTCCGCCGTGAACTTGAAAATTCTTCAATATATAAACCATATTATACCAAGTGTGAGTTCTACAGTTCACCTACTTAAGATCCATTTATGTAATTTTTATAGATTAGCTCCAAGTTGCTTTGACTTTAAGAATAATTGTATTCGCCAAACAAAGTATATTTATCTTTCTATTTTAGATAACTCAAACGTTGAACTGGCTTGTAAGAATGTCATCTGATGCAGAAACTAATATCGTATCGATGGAACGTATCAAAGAGTACGTTGAAATGGAACAAGAGGCTGAATGGGAAATACCCGGCAAGAATCCAACAGGTAGATACACCTACTAATAATCTTAGTTTTTAACATTCTTTTTGTATTTAGAAACAGCAAAGACAGATGGGATAAATCATCTCTCCAGTGTTTAGATGAGTGGTTATAGCTTTAGTACTCATACCTGTCTGGATGATGACATTATAAAAAATGTGAACCAAGCACAGAAAAGCTTTTCTGTACAAATGAAAATCTTTTTGACTTCTTACGGGAATTAAAAAAGCCATGAAAGGAAGAAGCAAAATTGGTGGTAAAATCTTCATTTGCTTCTAAAACTTCAACTACTGTATGTGTTGATGTGAATAAAAATCCAGATTATAGAAAAAATGTGGATCTGGATAATGGAGAGCAATGCGGTCACATAGTGATTTACTATAAAGTTGGGGTAACGAATCATCATACATAAGTCAAAACATGACAACAATCAAAAACCCATATTTACACAATAAAGCCAATGTGTGTTTACCTGCCGCCTGCTGAAGTAGTCAATAAGAGAGGGTAAATAAATAAAATGACGAATTTGGCAAAAATGTTGCTTGTTGCGTTTATTTTCAGCTTAAATAAGGATTTTGGAAAATATACCAATATGGAATATAGAACTCAGTTATCTCTGACCCATAAATGCACTTTTTAACGGTGTCTCTCATATTTTCTCATTTTAGCTGACTGGCCACAAAGTGGGGTTGTAGATTTCCAAAAGTATTCAGTGAGATACAGACCAGGGTTGGAGCTGGTTTTGAAAAGTTTGACTGTACATATCGATGGAGGCGAAAAAGTTGGTATAGTAGGCAGAACCGGAGCAGGAAAGTCCAGTTTGACGTTGGCACTGTTCAGGTGAGAGGAGTTGTTGTTGAATTATTACTTTTCATAGTATAAGAGAAATAATTTTCTGTGTCACACATTTTCATGTCTCAGTATATCTCCGCGACATATGCGGCTCAACAAAAAAATAATATTATATTTTTCCAGTCCTAAAAACTTTGCTTCTTAATCCATCTATGACTTTTCATGCCCCCTTGGATTTATTCCCTGCACTTATTATTGTTTGTTTATAATGATTCTTTTTTGCTGAAACTAAAATATTTATATATATATATATATATGTATATACAGGGTGTTTCAGTTTATTGTTGCATAACTTTAAGATTCGATAGAACTTTTAAAATTAATGCATAAAGTCGAAAAATGCGTGGCTTCCGAAATACAGGGTGGGTGTTTAAATTTACTTTCTAATATAGTTTTTTTTTAAATATTCCGAACAATATTTGATGTATAACAGTGAAAATTGGTATACAACGGTTTTTTGGTACGGCAAAACGAACCATCGTTTAGATTGTGTTTTTAAACACAGCAATAATTCCTAACTCCAAATAAACACAAAAAAACAGAATATTAATTTGTTTAATTTTCCAATATTATTTTTAACAAGTTAAATTAATTATTTACAACTAAAATGCTATTTGATAGTTAGGACAAACATACAAAATCTAAAGTAGTTGCTCGAAATGTAAACACAATTGTTCAATACACAATTCACATCTACGAATGATCGAACGTGGTATAGCATTATTCAAATAAGGCCTTATTTCATCACATGCATTCCTGATTCTGTCTATTAGCATATCTCTTGTGGTTACAGGAGTCTGGTACACTTTTTCTTTTATAAATCCCCACACAAAGAAATCTAATGGATTTAGGTCAGGGGATCGTGGAGACCAGGCGACTGGTCCTCCACGGCCGATCCATCTTACTTGGATAATTTTCGTCCAGCCAGTTTCTACCTATTCTCGAATAATGAGCTGGACAACCATCAAGCTGGAACCAGGCCAATCTTCTTAAATCTAACATAACATCATCCCACATATTTGCATGTTCAGCCTTTAAAAATTCCAAGAAGGTCGCAGCATTTAACCTTGCATGCAAAAGGTAGGGTCCAAATAGTCGATTACGGTAGATACCAATCCACACATTCGCACTAAATTCATGCTGAAAATTTCTTTCCCGAACTTCATGCGGATTTTCATGTGACCAAATATCGGTCCATAAAACGTTACTTAAAAACTTCCTATTAATATCAGTTCTATCAAGAATCCACTGACAAAAAGTGATTCTTCGTTCTCCGTCGCCTGGCTGTAATCCTTGCACTAGTTGTAAATGGTAAGGACGTCTATGGTCATTTCTAAGAACACGGTGAACATGGCTTGCTGAAATTCTTAAGGTACCAGAAACTCTCGTAACACTTGTGGTCGGATCTCTATCAAACTCACGCAGAATCATACGGGTAAATCTGCGCTGACGAACATTTATGTTTTGATCCCTTTGGAGATTTCCAAAACCATTTTCAATTACTTGGCGATGCACCCTTGCAAATACTGAGCGAGTTGGATGTCGTCTGTTTGGAAATCTTGGTGCGTATTCTCTGGCTGCTTCTGCTGCGTTTCCATTTACAAAGCCATACACAAAATGAATATCCGCTAACTCTTGATTGGAGAATAAAAATGGCATTTTTATAAAACTTACAAAAAAAAAACAGGTAAAAGAAACTAAATTTCGTGCATTCACAATTGCAAAAAAACGTTTCAGGTTTCAACAGACAACAAAACTAACTGTCAACTAATTGACGTTTAACCTTATTCTGCTTTCAATTTCAAAAATATTTGCAGGCACAGCCTACTTCTAAAAATTATCGAGATACTGACTTTTTAATGTTATTTTATCATAAATAATTAAAAATGCATCGAACCTTAAAAATCGAAATATCTCAAAAACGGCTAACTATAACGAAAATGCACAAGAGAGCTTTTTTATGTTGAAAAGTACGAAGAATCAGTTTTTTATTCAAAAAGCAAAAAATTGCTTTAAAAAAAATTGTCGGTCATTTTAATACACTACAGGTACAGTAGAGAGCGCCCTCAAGCGGCTACAGTAAAACTATGCCCATGGTTCGTTTTGTCGTACCAAAAAACCCTTGTATACCAATTTTCACTGTTATACATCAAATATTGTTCGAAATATTTAAAAAAAACTTTTTTAGAAAGTAAATTTAAACAACCTGCATTTCGGAAGCCACGCATTTTTCGACCCATGTTTATATAGACTTTATGCATTAATTTTAAAAGTTCTACCGAATCTTAAAGTTATGCAACAATAAACTGAAACACCCTGTATATATATATATATATATATATATATATATATATATATATATATATATATGTTTACTACTCTTATCGTTTATCTAAATTTGGCAAACTTTGTGTTATTGTATGGTTTTCAGTACGAGTCTTTGGTTCGATCAGTTGTATCAGACTTTTAATAGTGCGTATACTTTCATTTGTCTGATTATTTTGTGCGATAAAATGGTCAATATTTACGAAAACAATGAACTGGTGGACATAGTACTAATGTAGCGTTTTTCTGGGTTCTTTTGGGTGTTTATTAAAACACTGGATTCCACAAAAAGAAATGCAGTGATTTATTTAACTTGATAGAACATTTGTATACTTGTATATTTATGTCTGACTAATTCTTATGGCGCCATTGACTGCACTATACTTCACTTCGCTCTGCTACTCTACCGTATTCAGTACTCTCCTTCCATCTGCCGGCCGCCTAGTTATATATAGTCGCCACTACTGCTTCGAGAAAGGTCTGGTGAACCACAAAGCGACATCTAGATTTATACATGTTGTCCATTTTGTTAGATTAAAATTGAGATACATGTGTGTCATCTTGAACTTGCATATTCAAGATAAAAGACAAAAGTTGTTTAGTCACAATTATTTATCTTACAGGCTCCTGCAATATATTGGAATTTACGCGTAAATCACTTAAAATTATTTCTAAATTCTTATAATATAACTTAAAGGCGATCTATATGTCAAATTATGAATGTATTTGTAGAGTTTACATAAAGCTATTGTAGATTTGACGTGAATTGATTAAAATTTGAGTAATTAGTAATTTATTTAATTTCTGTGGATTCAATATAATTTTGATTGGTTAAGATCATTGGGCCTTCGTGGATGTGTTTATATTTACTAACAATGGAATATTTCTTCAAAATTACAATTTCGTCAGGTAATACAAAGGCTACTATAAAAGTTTTACAATATGAGTTAACAAACGGAGGCAGGAGCCTGCATGTTACTGCATATCGAGACATGTCCATGCGTGCATAGTAGCCGACACCCTTTCGATTTAGTTGTTAATTCGTATTGACAGAGTAATGTGCCGACTATGGCATCGTGGTCACCTAGTGAGATAAGGGCAGTCTTACGGTATAATTTTACGCGTAGTTTAAGCATAGACCAGTGCTTGCATTAAAGAATGATTGTCCTCATTGTACGACTATATTCAAAGGGTACAGAGAATTCCAAAGGTGCAATTTCACTCTGGAGGACGCTGAGAGGGAAGGAAGGTAACGAACGTCAGTAACAGAGGAAAACATTACTGCTGTGAGAAAAATGGAGAGTGACATACCAACAGATAGAGGAGACGTTTCACCTTCATGCATCAGCAATTCATTCAATTCTGCCTGACCATTTACACGTAAGGAAACTTTGTTCTCTCTGGGTACCGCATAGTAAGACGAAAGAGCAGGAGAGTCGTCGTACGACTTGGTGCCGAGTGATGCTGTAAGTGTTTGATAATGGGCAATCTCTATTATTACGATGTGCTGACTAACACTCATAACGAAGTTTGGGTCTTTGATGATGAGAACACACCTGCTGGACTGAAACTTATTGAGCACCCTCCTTTCAACCCTGATCTTGCTCCCTGTGACTTTGCACTGTTTCCGCTTGAGAACATGAAGCTAAAAGGAAAACGGTTTTCTAGCGGTAAGGACCTTCTGAGGATTTGGGACAACGAGTAGTAGTAGTAGTAGAAAGATTTATTTAGCACATTTGGCTACATAAACAGAACAATTGTAAACAACTTAGAACTAGTAAATTCAAGCCATATGGTGTATGATGTTAATGCTGGGCAACCTATAAATGTAGATTTAACAAGTGATTTCTCAATTTTACTTTAAATTTTGTCAAAGTTTTCTGGTCTTTTATCTCCGAGTATAATTTATTATATTCAATCAACCCTTGATGGAATACAGATTTGTAGCATATCTTATACTTTTTGGTCATTAAATGGAAGTCATCTTTATTTCTGGTATTATGTAAATGATGGTCGACATTTGATGATGTTAAATTAGTTAGACTTGATGGAAATATATTATTTTTTACTTTATAAATGAATATCATTACAAGATATTTGATAAAATTTTTTACATTGAGCCATTTTAATTTGCTAAGCATTTGCCTAATTGGAGTATATTTATCTTTATTTAGTATTATTCTCATGCACTTATTTTGTAAAATTTGCAGTCTTTCAAAAATGGAATTATTTGCTAAATATAGAATAGTCGAACAGTACAAGAAATTTGGAAGAATGATGGTATTATAGATAATTTTTCTGCTATATCAACTCAGACATCCAGAAACTCTCGATAAATATCCCACTTTACTACTAACTTTTTCATAATGAATATCAAAAATTAATCGAGAGTCAACAAAAACCCCCAGGTATTTAAAATTTTCTACGAATTCAATATCTTCACCATCAATATTCAGTTGAATATTTGTAGATTGTTCTTTTCCGATTAACAAGGCTTTCGTTTTACTTGCATTTAATTTTAGTCTGTTAGATGCTAACCATTTTGAGACAAGCTTCAAGTCTTCATTTATATAAGAGATACCAGACTGAATATTTTTAGTACTTATATAAATCATAGTGTCATCGGCGAAAATCTGAATTTATGTATAAAATAAAAAGAAGTGGTCCCAGGATACTGCCCTGTGGAACACCCAACGTATTTTCAATTTTTGATGAAATAGTGTCATTAACTTTTGTAACTTGCATCCTTTTAGATAAATAATTTCTAAACCAATCTAAAACACTTCCTGTTATATCATATGCCTTCAATTTACCTAACAAAATATCTCTATCAATCGTTTCAAATGCCCTCTTCAAATCCAAAAATACTGCTATGACAACTTCTTCTGAGTCTATGGCTCTTCTCCAATTCTCAGTTACCAACTGGAAAGCTGTTTCTGTGGAATATTTTTTTCGAAAGCCTGCTTGCGCCTCCACTAAAATTTTGTTTTCTTCTATAAACTGCATTAATTGGTCATGCACTATGGACTCTAATAATTTTTCAATGTCTGGTAACACATTTACTGGTCTCATATCGCCGCATCTTTTAGAATTTTTTATTTTGGGAACTGGTGTTATTGTAGAGCATTTCAAATTTTCAGGGAAAGAACTGCTTCTCAGTGAACAATTGATCCAATTTAATACAGGATATCCCAAAATTTCGAAACAGTTTTTCAGCACGTTTTTAGTAGTAATTTCGGCACAGTTGTTATTTGATTTTAACCTGTTTACTTTTTTTCTTAGATAATTCAATGATACGCTGTGCAATTTTGAAAGTGTATGCAACATTTCCCCCTCGAAACTGATTTTCATATAGTCAGGTGCAGCATTGGCAGTACCCACAATATCAACAATACTTTCCACAAAATATTCATTTAGTTTGTTTGCAATCACCAAAGAATTTGTTTCGGTACCCTTTTCGAATTGAACTTGATTTACACAATCATGCGGCTTCGAATTGATCAGTCTTTTTAAAGTCTTCCACATCTTTACACTGTCGCACTTGTTATTATCGATTTGTTTATCGTAAAATTTCCTTTTTTCTTCTCTAATTACATATACACATTTATTCCTAAGAGTTTTATATACCTCCCAATCATCATTTGATTTTGTGAATATACATTTATTGTATTGTTTGTCTCTCAAATTTTGAGCTGCCTTAATATTCTTGTTATACCAGGGTGTATTTTTTGTCGAGCAAATCACTTTTTTATCAGTTGCAAGATCTAAACAAGTTTTTATATTTCCTATTATGTTGTCATATATTTTTTCCATATTCTCACCAAAATTCCAATAGCAGCCAGCAAGTTCTCGTTCAAGTTTTTCGTACTTGATAGTATTTACGATTTTCTTAATTTTTGTATCAGAAAAATGCCCTACCAAGGGCAGCAATGTCCAACTGTGATCGCTAACTTTAGGTGTATGTACAGCTTTAATCCCTGCACATTCGAAATTTACAATAACAAGATCTAACAAAGTCTCTGATAATGATGTTATTCTGGTACTCTCTTCAATTTTTTGCTTGAACCCATAGTTGTTTATGGTTTCTTTCAATTTTCTTGTTTTCATGCTTTTACCATAATAATTTAAATTAAAATCACCTAAAAGTATTATATTGTTTCTAAAATTCCACATTTCTTCGCATTTTTCTTCAAAAAACGTTAAAAATGTATCCGCATCACTGTTTGGTGAACGGTAAAAAGTACAAAGATCATAACGTTTCCCAAATAATTTGAACTGTATATGTGCATACCAGTATGCATAGTCTAAAGTGGTACAATCAAATAATGTGATCTGTATTTTGTGGTAAACATAAATCACTACACCTCCAGTATGTCTGGAGTTGGAGTTGCATCTGTAGGTTTTATAATTAGTAATTTGTAATTCACCATCAGTGATGTCTTCTGTAGCATGTGTTTCGGTAAGACATAATACAAGTGGTTTTCTCCATCTCAAAAACTGTTGAACTGCATCTATATTATTCAGGACTCCTTGTATGTTTAAATGGTATATTGAGTTATATTCATCACTTACAGATTTAGCCACGTCTTGCAAATCTGAGCTTAATAGTTGCCATTCATTTGCATAACTAATTTTTTCCCTCTCACGTTCAATTTTCCTTTTATATACTTCACAATTTTTGTCAAATGGTCCATGATTAATAGGTAATCCTAATGTGCCGCACTCCCGGGTGAAACTTGACAGAGCTGGTTTAAGAGTCTATAGAAATAAGTCTATAAAATGTGGTGAAAATTACTTTGAACAAAGTCAATAAATAAAGCTGTATTGCAAAACTTTTATAGTACCCTTTGTATATTTGCATGCGACTTATATTACTGAAGGGGGTTTTTCAAAGTAAGCGTATGGAAAATTTGAAAATATGCGAGGGATTCAATCGACTTGACATCGATTTATTTTTCAGGATAATCGAGGCAGCTGAAGGTAAAATTCTCATCGATGGTGTGGACATATCCGAACTGGGCCTGCACACGTTGAGATCCCGCCTGACTATCATTCCGCAAGAACCAGTGTTGCTCTCAGGAAGTCTTCGTTTGAACCTTGACCCCTTCCAGAAACATACTGACAAAGAGTTGTGGGAAACTCTTGAGAATTGCCACTTGAAACAGTTTGTAAAGAGTAAGTTTAGGCAAATAATAAAAATAAGTTACAGTTGTATAACCCACTAATGAGATTTTGCGATGGATATTCAGTATCTTAAGAAATTTCACTTTTTAGAGGGCTCCAAAGAAATAGAAAACAACAACTGCATCACAAGTTTTTGCTTGCTATATGTGAACTACAGCAACTTTTTTGATTCCCGTAAAAGTGACTCTCCATATCTTTAATATATTAACCTTAACTTTATCTGAGCAACTATCAGAAAAATATAAACAAAATGGCATTCCTCTTCTACCACGATATCTACAGGGTTATCCAAATTAAGTGTCCACCATTAGTAACTTTGTTATTAGTGAAAATACAAAGTTGTTTGAATTAGCAAACTAGTAGCATTTTTATCGCTGGTAAAAATGAGAAATAAAAAAAAACAATTGAGAGTCGTTATTTTGATTTTTTTCAGTAAAATAACATTTTTTTAAATGGAAACCCCTGTATATTATATTTTTTTCTGTTAAAGCATCAAATTTTAAACAAAAAAGCTTACAATAACTTTTCTCCTAGGTTACAAATTGTTGAAGTTATGGCCTCCAATCTGAAACAATTAAATTGTATCGACAAACTTTATTTTCAACATCAACTTATAATCTTACAAAATACAATAACAATTTTTTTTAAAGAAGATGCTCGAAAACACCACCTTGTTCTTCAATACATTTTTGGGCACGTTTTTCAACTGCTCGAACTGTCTTAAGTATGGTCCTACCATCTATCTGGGTTATCTTTTCCCTAACTGCAGTCTTTAACGCGTCAAGGTTATCGTACCTTCGCTTGTAAATTTGGTTCTTTAAGTAACCCCACAAGAAGTAATCAAGTGGGTTTAGATCTGGTGATCTGGGAGGCCACTGTATTGGGCCATTTGTTCCTATCCACTGATCATTAAAAGTAGTACTTAGAAAATGATAAGTACCTCTGGAGTTGTGGGCAGGTGCGCCATCTTGCTGAAAATGCAGATGATGTCTACTTATAAGATCCAATTCGTCTAAGAAATTAGTCAGAATTTCTGACATAAATTCCACATATCTTTCACCAGTTAGGGTTCCCTCATAAAAGAACGGGCCAACAATTTTTGAACCAATTATACCGCACCAAACGTTGAAACTGAAACGGACTTGTGGGCCTCTTGGATGTACTAACAAAAGATTTTCTCTTGACCAATAATGGTGTTTTTTTCTATTAAACATTCCAGAATTTGAAAAATTTGATTCATCTGTCCATAAAAGGTAACGAAAGTTATTTACATTTTGGCGACAGAAGCTAAGATACCAATGGCAAAAAACAAGTCTTCTCTCTGGATCCCCTGCCAAAAGCGTTTGAACTGGTCGGTACTTATACGGAATAAATTTGTATTTTTTTAAAATCCTTTGAACAGTACCATAACTGAAATTAGAGTCCTTGAGAATATCTGCTATTGAATTCTCACGATAAGCTTCAAAATATCCAATAACTGCAATTTCCGTGGCCTCGCTTATTATGAATTCTTTTTTTGCCCTTGTTTTAGCAAAAACATTTTCGTTGCCCCTAAATTTTCGATAAAGTCTCAGAAAATATCGTTCATACGGTTGAATGCGAGCGGGATATAATTCACTGTAGTATTCTCTTGCTCTCAAGGAGGATTTTCTGCACACTAAATAGCATTCTAACATATCACACTTTTCTTCATGGGAGAACATTTTTCTTTAAATTAATGACGCAATAAAGCTTATAAACAAGTATTTACACTAATGTTTGACATTATTTGATTTTATCATTGTTTTCCAAAGCCTTCTAGTTGCGAGTATGTCCAGTTTAACAATTTGTCGCTTATCTTAATGCTGTCAAATCGCGAACGCCATGTTGTTTTCATAGCCGTCTTAATATTATAATACTGCAAATAATTAAAAATATTTATCGTTATTTTGACTTTATTTTTGACTTTAGCGGAAAAGTCATTATGAACTTTTTTGTTTAAAATTTGATGCTTTAACAGAAAAAAATATAATATACAGGGGTTTCCATTTAAAAAAATGTTATTTTACTGAAAAAAATCAAAATAACGACTCTCAATTGTTTTTTTTATTTCTCATTTTTACCAGCGTTAAAAATGCTACTAGTTTGCTAATTCAAACAACTTTGTATTTTCACTAATAACAAAGTTACTAATGGTGGACACTTAATTTGGATAACCCTGTATATAGCTTCAAATGTATGATTGCTACAATTACGTTCTTTTTAAAAAACTACAACAATTACATAACATACAAATATTCAGTAAAACAAAACTTGCATGTCTAAGAATTTTCACTGTCCATGAAATGTTCCTTTACTTCTCATTCAAGCATCTTTAAATTACAAGTAGACTTAATATCATTATTTATTAAATTCAAGTAAACCCTTCTGAAATATTGATTTCCTATTGTAATTTTCTAAATGAAAATCTAAATTTTCTGTTTTATAATAATTGTGGTAATAACTATTCAATTATATGTAATGTTCTAAATGTTGTGTCTAAAGATGATTTCTTATTTTAAATATGAAAACAAGAACCAAATATATGAATTTTTTTTATATTCAACCACTGCAATTCTTGTAACATAGATTTTATTTTGCTGTACTTATTTTTATTCAATATTATTTTCATAGCATTATTTTGTAGGTCTTGAAATTTTGAGAATACAGCTTCATTGGTAGTGAACAAGATAGTTGAACAAATTCGGAAGAATAAACTATATTTCTTGGAATATGTATTAAAACTATGAGAAGCCCTATAAAAGTAATTTGTTTTTTGGCCAATTGTTGAAATAATGTATTCATAGTGATTATAAAACTTTAGTTTACTATCAATATATACAGGGTGATTCACAAGTCGTGACCAAAAATGAAAAATCATACACAGGACCGCATTTTAAGGAGGAGTCTTCTATGTAACATTTTTCCTTCGAAGACATCATTTAAAAGATACGGGGTGTTGAAGTTTAAAAATACAAAAACATTTTTTTTGATATCTTCAAAACCCTCAACTGGAATGAACTAAAATTTGGTATTGTCGACATTCAAAAGTCTTTGAACCACCAGTGGCGGAGACACAAGGGATTAGTGGCATTATTTTTCCAAAACGTACAATTTTTCGAATTTTTCCTTCAAATAATTACCCTAGTGTTTTTTTCCTAGAGAGCACTGTTTCTGTAAAAATAAAACAAATTAGATCATTCATGAAGAGCCGAGATACAATTAGTTTCAAAATAAAATAGGAGGCCTTGATACCAACTTGACGTTTCTTGGGAGATAGTTTGTCAAAGTTAAAAAAGTATAAAGAGTCCTCCTTGCTTAAATTTTGTCGAAGTACCCAACAAAAGGCGGAAGCTTTAATTTTTCACCTATATATATACAGGGTGACTTTGAAGTTGAGTCATTAATTTTCAGATAATGATTGTAGAAGGAAGATAAACCAAAATATGTGTGTAAAAATAAAAAAAAATTAAAAAAAAATTTTTACCTTGTTTTATAAAGTATCCTCTCGACAAGTATTTCAGTGCGGACCTGTATTTGATCGTGAGGTCCCCTGTGAGGTCTTAAGTCACCTGATTCACGAGCCCGTTGTACTACATTAACAAAGGCACGAGGGGTTGGTTGCACTCGATTGGGAAACCGATCCGCATAAACATGTGCCATTTTTTATTTCGTTTGAGCCACGCAACAGACACTATTCACACGCGTTACCGACTGACACTAACTGTATGTATAACTGAACTGAATAAAATAATTGTAAAAACATCGTTCCAAATTCTTTCGCTTTTTTGTTTCCGATGCGATGAACCGATAAGGCGGATTATATCCGTTGTTGCCAAACACGAGCACATGATATTATTATTGAGACAGGGCGGTACTCAAACTTCCAAAGGGCTATAACTTTGTTACTTTAATTTTACCAGAAAAATGGTAAAGGAAAAAAACATTTCTTTTGATCAGATCTACTCACTGTTAAAATAAATGACTCAACTTCGAAGTCACCCTGTATATATATACAGGGTGTTTCAGTTTATTGTTGCATAACTTTAAGATTCGATAGAACTTTTCAAATCAATGCATAAAGTCTATATAAACATGGGTCGAAAAATGCGTGGTTCCGAAATACACGGTGTTTAAATTTACTTTCTAAAATAGTTTTTTTTTAATATTTCGAACAATATTTTATGTATAACAGTGAAAATTGATATACAAGGGTTTTTTGGTACGACAAAACGAACCATGTGCATAGTTTTACTGTAGCCGCTAGAGGGCGCTCTCTAGTGTACCTGTAGTGTATTTAAATGTCTGAAAAATTTTTCTTAGTGCAATTTTTTGCTTTTTGAATAACAAAAACTGATTCTTCGCACTTTCCAACATAAAAAAGCTCTCCTGTGAGTTTTCGTTATAGTAAGCCGTGTTTGAGATATTTCGATTTTTAAAGTTCGATGCATTTTTAATTACTTATGGGAATATAATATTTTTTTTACATTTTCGATTTGGGCATTACAAGTAATTAAGATGATCGTTTAGATTGTGTTTTTAAACACAGCAATAATTCCTAACTCCAAATAAACACAAAAAACAGAATATTAATTTGTTTAATTTTCCAATATTATTTTTAACAAATTAAATTAATTATTTACAACTAAAATGCTATTAGATAGTTAGGACAAACATACAAAATCTAAAGTAGTTGCTCGAAATGTAAACCCAATTGTTCAATACACAATTAACATCTACGAATGATCGAACGTGGTATAGCATTATTCAAATAAGGCCTTATTTCATCACATGCATTCCTGATTCTGTCTATTAGCATATCTCTTGTGGTTACGGGAGTCTGGTACACTTTTTCTTTTAGAAATCCCCACACAAACAAATCTAATGGATTTAGGTCAGGGGATCGTGGAGGCCAGGCGACTGGTCATCCACGGCCGATCCATCTTTCTGGATAATTTTCGTCCAGCCAGTTTCTAACTATTCTCGAATAATGAGTTGGACAACCATCAAGCTGGAACCAGGCCAATATTCTTAAATCTAACATAACATCATCCCACATATTTGCATGTTCAGCCTTTAAAAATTCCAAGAAGGTCGCAGCATTTAACCTTGCAGGCAAAAGGTAGCGCCAAAATAGTCGATTACGGCAGATACCAATCCACACGTTCACACTAAAATCGTGCTGAAAATTTCTTTCCCGAACTGCATGCGGATTTTCATGCGACCAAATATGTTTATTATGAAAATTTACCATTCCACGTCTAGTGAAGCATGACTCATCGGTCCATAAAACGTTACTTAAAAACTCCCTATTATTATCAGTTCTATCAAGAATCCACTGACAAAATGTGATTCTTCGTTCTCCGTCCCCTGGCTGTAGTCCTTGCACGGGTTGCAAATGGTAAGGAAGTCTATGGTCATTTCTAAGAACACGGTGAACATGGCTTGCTGAAATTCCCAAGGCACTAGAAACTCTCCTAACACTTGTGGTCGGATCTCTATCAAACTCACGCAGAATCATACGGGTAAATCTGCGCTGACGAACATTTATGTTTTGATCCCTTTGGAGATTTCCAAAACCATTTTCAATTATTTGGCGATGCACTCTTACAAATACTGAGTGAGTTGGATGTCGTCTGTTTGGAAATCTTCGTGCGTATTCTCTGGCTGCTTCTGCTACGTTTCCATTTACAAAGCCATACACAAAATGAATATCCGCTAACTCTTGATTGGAGAATAAAAATGGCATTTTTATAAAACTTACAAAAAAAAAAAACAGGTAAAAGAAACTAAATTTCGTGCATTCACAATTGCAAAAAAACGTTTCAGGTTTCAACAGACAACAAAACTAACTGTCAACTAATTGACGTTTAAACTTATTCTGCTTTCAATTTCAAAAATATTTGCAGGCATAGCCTACTTCTAAAAATTATCGAGATACTGACTTTTTAACGTTATTTTATCATAAATAATTAAAAATGCATCGAACCTTAAAAATCGAAATATCTCAAAAACGGCTAACTATAACGAAAATTCACAAAAGAGCTTTTTTATGTTGAAAAGTGCGAGGAATCAGTTTTTTTATTCAAAAAGCCAAAAATTGCACTAAGAATTTTTTTTCGGTCATTTTAATACACTACAGGTACAGTAGAGAGCGCCCTCTAGTAAAACTATGCCCATGGATCGCTTTGTCGTACCAAAAAACCCTTGTATACCAATTTTCACTGTTATACATCAAATATTGTTAAAAATATTTAAAAAAACTATTTTAGAAAGTAAATTTAAACACCCTGTATTTCGGAAGCCACGCATTTTTCGACCCATGTTTATATAGACTTTATGCATTACTTTTAAAAGTTCTATCGAATCTTAAAGTTATGCAACAATAAACCGAAACACCCTATATATTGATATATTATTCTAGACTTTCTTTTTTTAAATTTACCACCACGTTTCTCACTTTTCTATCTTATTTTTAAAAAAACTTACATTCTGTTCATCTTGATGTTTGTATATGCTTGATGGATATATTTACTGGCATAATGTTTCTTACAATTTGAAGGGATGAGTGGAAGAGCACTAGATCGTGAACTCCCCTTGTGGTTTTCGTTTTATTTTTTCTTTTCCTTTTTTTTTTTTGTTAATAATCATGTTTCCCTTTCTGATTTTTTTTTTTGAGAACTGTTTGGAAATTTGGCATTTATTATTATTATTATTATATTAAAAAAAGGGTTTTTATTTTTAAACTTCTATTTTTTTAACTTTTAACCCCCTTAAAATGCGGTCCTGTGTATGATTTTTCATTTTTGGTCTCGACTTGTGAATCATCCTCTATACCCAAATATTTAACACATTGACTGCGAACTGGGATGAGGATACCCACCTCAGAAACTGAAATACTTTTTTGGAAGACGGCAGAGAGCGTCGAAAGACGCCGTTCGCCTCCCACCACAGGAGCGGAGGGCGTCTTTTGACGCTGTTCGCACTGAACGTGTTAATTGATTCAACTTTTTCAATCATTTTACCGTTTATCCTAATTGGTATTAGTATTTTCATTTAAGTATTCCACTATTAAAATACATGTTATTTTAGAAGCATTCAATTTTAGTTTATTCACATTTAACTAATTTATGATTTTTGCCAAGTCAAAATTTAGCACCTTTGAAGCAGTGTCTATATTTTCATCTGATATGTACCTTAAAGTATCATCTGCAATTATCTGGATCTTAAAATAATCTTAAAGATCGCTAGTTATAATCTTAAAATGACAATAACTTTCGTTCTAGGTCAACCAGCTGGGCTGCATTTCGAAATAACAGAAGGTGGCGACAACCTATCAGTAGGTCAACGCCAACTGCTTTGCCTAGGCAGATCACTCCTCCGTAAGACAAAAGTGCTCGTTCTAGACGAAGCCACGGCAGCCGTGGATCTGGAAACCGACGACCTGATCCAGAGGACGATCAGAGAAGCTTTCAAAGATTGTACGATTCTCACAATAGCTCATAGGCTGAATACGATCATGGATTCCGATAAGATATTAGTGCTCGATAAGGGGCTAATTGCAGAATTCGACTCGCCTAAGAATTTGCTCGAGGATGAGAATACGATATTTTATGGAATGTGTAAAGATGCGGGATTAGTGTGATTTTCTAATACGTTCGTATTGAATACAGTCCGGGATCAAATTCACAATTTGTCAAATTGCTAATTGAGCTACTTATAGACATAAATGCAACATCATAGGGTAAAAAACATATACCCTTCATTCAAGTTAGATGAGATCCCGAACTAATAGAATTAGAAGCTGTGCTGATGTGTCCAATAAGTTATTATTTTATGTATTGTGTGATTAGTATTTGTAAGTGATTCAAAAAATATAAAGTGCGTGACCGATTGTCCAAAAAGGTATAAATTTAAGACAGAGTTGAAATGCTAGTGTCAAATTTCGTGCTATCAGGTCAAACCTCGAATTAATCGCACGATGAGGTTAGTTGAATGAATTACAAGGTGTAATATAGGACAAAATCAATAAAATGTTTTCAAATTGTGCAGCATGTGTATATTATTAAATCCCTAATAAGCTAGTTGACGCTTTCTTAAGTAGGTCTTAAATATACTAAGTGACATGTAAATCCGAACACCCAGTTTAAATGGTTTTATTTTAATAAAAGTTGGTGAATGTATTTATCTTACTGTAAATAACAAGTGAAAAAATGTTCAGCCTTATCAGTTGGACATTCCGGTTTTTATACTGCTTTTTTTTAATTCACTAACGCTCTAAAAATGCCGCAGCCGCAGTAAAGAATCAACGTTGGCGGATTTTGGTTCTTGACATCCTTTACGATCGGTTACGATACCTAGAGTACAGAGACCTGTACGATTTCGTCAACTTAGTGAGTTTGATAGAGGCCGTATAGTGGGACTTCGGGAAGCTGAACTTTCTTTTCGGGCAATTGCAGTTAAACTCTGGGCGCTGAAGAAACACATTAAACGTAAACAGTGATCAGCACGTGAACAGATCCCTCGAAAGCATCCACCGATATACTCCAGTCACTTTAGGTCTAAACATCCTCGGCAGTGTATTTCTAGTGAATCCACAGACCCTTTTTCATGTCATCTTGAGACTAGAAAAAGGATGACTGTTAAAATAAGTTACCTTGATCTTTCATGAGCTCCCAGTACAAAACATCATCGATATATTTTTGATGTAGGAACAACAAATTGGTTTAGAAAACATCCACTTTGAACCTAAATTGACTGGAGTAACATCGATCTACAGACAAATTCAAGGTCACTAGCAGTCGTCGGCGCTCTACGAATCTGCACAGGTTTGGACTTGTAAACGTGATTGTAGATGACACGACAGGCATCTAACAGTTAATTCACGCACAGGATTGCATTGCATACGCATTACGCATTCAGTAGCGTATACTCGTTTTTCGCGAGTGGAACGTTTTGTTTATATATTGCCTAAGATACGATGTCTGACACAGATACAGCCGACGAAGTGGTTGACATCAGCGCAACCCCACCCAAAAAAAGGGCTAAGATGCTACATTTAAGTGCAAATGAAAAACAAATAATATTAAATATATACAAAAACCAAATTCAAGAAAAACCCGATTTGGTCGTGGACGAAGTTATATGTAAGGTAGCACATATTTCTGGAGTATGTCGGTCCAGTGTTTATAGGATCATTAAGGAATATAGGAGCACTCACTCACTTTCTGAGCCAAAACCGTATCCTGCAAGAAAAATGATAACGGACGGAGTAGATGACTTTGACAGAACTGCCATCAGGAGGAAAGTGCATAATTTTTTCTTCCGAAATGAGATACCTACAGTAGATAAGATATTAAGATTAGTTAATGCTGATGAGGATCTTCCATCATTTAAAAGAACCACATTCCGAAAACTTTTGAAGGAACTTAATTTTCGATTCTTGAAACGGGGAAGAAACAGTATGTTAATAGAGAAAGAAGAAATTGTTGTGTGGAGAAGGGAATACCTTAGGAAGATTCGGAAGTTTCGCGATGAAAAAAGAAAAATTTACTATTTGGACGAAACGTGGGTGAATGATGGACATACTCAAGCGAAAGTTTGGGTCGACAAATCAGTAACATCATCAAGGCAGGCTTTTCTAGACGGTCTTTCGGCTGGATTGAAAAATCCTGCAGGTAAGCTCCTTCATCTATCCGGCAATTTAATTTTGATAAATTCGGGCAAATAATATGCTGTGATAGCAGATAATGTGTGATATTCTCCAAAAATGGTGCATTCGCAGTGTAGTCATTAGGAAAAAAACTTCGAGCCTCTTTTAAGCGTTATTTTGAAATTTATTATCATTTTTGGGTGCAGTCAATTTGCTTTGAATGGGTTTTGAGAAGTTGCAAACTTCAATTTTCTACGTTTTTCAGTTTTTGATCAGCATTCCGTGACTCTTAAATTCAGCTAAATGAACTCAATTGCCTCATTCCTTCAAATTTAATCTCCATAGTGTAAGGAATAATTTATTTCCAGGAAAAGGCAAACGGCTGATCATTTGTCACGTAGGTAGTGAAGACGGCTTTGTTCCCGAAGCACTGTGGGCCTTTGAATCAAAAAAGACAGGGGACTATCATGAGGAGATGGACGGCAATTCCTTTGAAAATTGGTTCTCCAAAATGTTACTAAAGCTGGAGAATAACGCTGTTATTGTACTGGATAATGCCCCGTACCATTCTAGAAAAATAGAAAAAATTCCCACAATGGCAACTAAAAAAGCAAACATACAACAATGGCTGGCCTCAAAACAGATCGATTTTGATGAAACAATGGTCAAGGGTGAATTGATAAGTATAGTCAATAGACATAAATACAAATACGATTTTAAAATGATCGACGAAATGGCCAAAAAACAAAATAAAACTGTCTTGAGACTGCCACCCTACCATTGTGAGCTGAACCCTATTGAGCTGATTTGGGCCAACATAAAGCAATACGTGGCGTCGAATAATAATACTTATAAATTTTCTGATGTTAAAAATCTCGTTCACATCGCAGTCAATAGAGTTACGGCAGAGGAATGGAAAAACTGTATCCGCCACGTTCGGGAGAAGGTTGAGGTCAAAATGTGGGATTTGGACAATGTCATCGATACCCAAATTGAACCTCTAATAATTAATTTAAACGATTCAGAAGATTCAAGTTCCTCTTCTGAATGAGTGCGCGCAGCTTACTTACTAATAACTAAAAAGTGTAGTTAACTCATTTGTGAATCTCTAACTGAAATTTACTGTAAAGATAATAATTATCTTGTATGAAATTTTTGATGACTACCCATAATATCTTGATGCGGTCCTGTAATGTCTCCTGCGCCTAAACACTCACTCACGAGCAATATGCGTGTATTTGTTTGGGTTTAGTTTCTTTCTTCAACGCCTAGAGTATAGAGTGCAAAGAAGTGTAGACACTGTGGTTAGGTGTTGTCAGGCATGGCTTCGAGAAGGCCGTACGCAAAGAGCAAGGGGCACTGGACGCCGCCGTAGAACAACAGACCGTGAAGATCGCCGCCTAAGATTATTGGCCTTAAGGGACCGTTGTTTTCATACCGGCCACACTGGGTCCTCCCTTTAACTCGAGAACACCGACGTAATCGCCTTGAGTGGTGCAGACAACGGTCACTCTGGGATCAGGAATGGAACAGTATTGTCTTTAGTGACGAGTCTCGATTTTGTTTAGGCATGCACGATGGTCGTGCCAGGGTTAGAAGGCGACGTGGTGAAAGGAGGAATCCATAGTTTTTTGTTGAAAGACATGTTCATCACACTGTTGGAGTTATGGTTTGGGGTGCTATAGCTTATGGTTCCAGGTCACCTTTAATCTTCATCAAAGGTAACATGAACGCGCAGCGTTATATCCACGAAGTGGCAGATCCAACTTTCCAACAAGATAATGCCCGACCACATGTTGCAAGAGTCACAATAGACTTCTTTCAACATAATGATGTCACATTGTTACCATGGCCACCAAGATCTCCCGACTTATCCCCAATTGAGCACGTGTGGGATATGATGGGTAGGAGATTGCTCAATTTGCAACGTCCTCCTCAGACTCTAGAAGCACTTCGAGAGGAGTTGGTGGTTGCCTGGAATGAGATACCACAGGAAGACATTGACCACCTGATCAGAAGTATGCCTAGGCGCGTTGGAGAATGCGTAGCACATCAGGGTGCATCCACACATTATTAAAGGTCAAAGGGCTTTAAAGCAGTGCAATCATTTTGAAATTTTTATCATTTACTTATTATGCTTCATTAAGGTACTTATACAAAATTTTATTAAAATAAAACCATTTAAACTGGGTGTTCGGATTTATATGTCACTTAGTATAGTTAATATTTGTTCTATCAAACCAAAAAAATATAGTACTGTATTTTTTTAAATTTTCTTAGACAGGCGAAAACACTGTCCGCCATGTTTGGCACATATCAATGTGTTCTGACGTCATACAATTTGTAAACAGCAGCTATCAGCAGCATAACTTCTCAGTGTTTAAGGGCCGTATCGTCAGTCGTTGCTAAAATCGTATTATGGCTTCCTCGATTTTCATATTTTTTGTACTGTTCCGTGTCAGCGCTCCACTTTGACGTTCTGTCATAAATATCTATTTGCATCAAATGTTTCTTCTTTAGCTTCACTTTCGCGCACCTCTTGATCTGAGATGCGACCTTTATACCCGAAAGTTTATCCTGGGAGCAAGCGCCCAGAGGAGGAATGGAATGTATAACATAAACAGGCTTAAGGCCCGTCGCGTTGAGTGACGCTAACCAGACTTGTGAACCTTCTGGAAAGATTTCGTGTGCTGCAGGGTCACTGACGCTCCCACGGGGGGAAGGTAAAGGGGGAAGTTACCCCCCCCACACGGCTCGGACAGTCTTTGAAAAGGTGGTATAAAGTAAACGTCTTATAAAAAAATCTGTAACTTTAAGAAAGGATAGCGGCAACACTGCCAACCCTATTTAACATCACTAATACGTAAAAAGAAGGTGGTAGACAAGGACCAGTCGACCGAGGCAGTACCACCCGCTAGCTTTTCCCAGGGTGTCTTATAAATGTCCGCATGTTTCCACACCTAAGCTATGCAGTCGGTTATCTACCAAAACAAAGAAATTAATGATGATGGATCCCTCGAGCACTAAAAACTCCGGACGTAAACTCACTCCACTCTCGGAATGTCCGGGTGGAGGGTGGGCTCGAGGGAACAACATCGAAGATCAAATTTGTTTTTCGAACATCTGCGGGATCAACAGCAACATTGATGCTGTTCATCACTACCTGCAATCCAATCGTCCCGCCGTGCTTTTCTTGGCGGAGACAAAAATCTCAGAGGCTGCACCGATTAACCATCTCAACTTCCCAAACTACGAGGTGCACTCCAATCTGAGAAAGAACGGGGGAGTTGTGGCTTTTGTCCGCAGCAGTCTTTCCTGCTCCAGGGATCTTTCTTTGGAATCAGACCGGAAGGACATTCTGTGGCTTCGCCTCAACTCCAAAACATCACCCAAATTTAT